CTCCTCCTCCTCCTCCTCCTCCTCATCTCTCAACGTGCTGTCGACGCGGCTTGGTTCATCGCTAACAAAAGCCAGCTTCTCAGCACGCAGAGTCCTTCGATTATCAACGGGCCCCATGCCGCCGACCACGGCTCCCAAGTCCCTGCAAACAGTCTTGGCGCATTGCATCAAGTTCGCCAACACCATGCCTCCGCCACTCGATCGCCACGGAGTAGTCACGCGGGGCCGTATGCTTTCCTGCCCTACTCGAACTCATATTCAAATCTGTCCAGTGGGGACGGAGCCAAGTTGAATGATTTCGAATCAACCAGCAACTCGTCCACAGACTCGGAAAACGACAGCACCGGCGTCCACGGACCGCGGCCGGCAGCCTCGTTGCCGCGCACCAACAACTCGATGCCCGTGGTAGAACCCACAGCTCCCCGGACAGTTCGACTTCTCAACCTTGCAGACGGTACTGCCATTCAAGACGTCACCTCCGTTGTGAGAGGCGGGCTTCTCGTCAACATATACTTCCGCGCCAGGGATAACACAATTTCCTTGTCCTTTCTCCACTCAGCCGATGCCCACGCCTTCTACCAATACGTGCAGGACAACGGACTGTATATCAAGAACACAAAGGTCGTCACTTTCGCAGGCAACTGGCCGCCAACTTACCATGCTGACTGATGGTGGAATCCAGGTTGAAATTAGATGGGACAACCGCCAATTCGTTGTGGCCAGGCACGTCGCACACAAAATTGCCATGGGGGCATGCCGTAATCTTGTCATTCGGTACTGCAGCCCAAATCTCACCGAAAAGGAAGTACGCAACGACCTGGAGCACATACACAATCTTGTCCTTGTCCAGATTCACTTCACAGGAGGCCATTGCTTCATCAGCACCAACTCCGTTGCTGCTGCCATGTTCGCCCGCACGTGCATGATGAGTCGGCTGTAAGTCTCTCCTCCCACTCTCTCCATGGCATTCCTTCACCTTCGACATCAGACTCTTTCTGGTCCTCAACTACGACTATTCTGATGCCCCTTCTCAGAAAATACAAAGGTACTTCTCGCATCGAATGGGGCGTTGACGAATGTGCCCAGCCGTTGCACAAAATGCCGGTCCGACCTCAGAAGCCGGTGATCAAAAGCACGAACAGCTCCACTTCAAATCGCTTTCAGCTGCTTTCTTTCGACGATGAGTAAATTCAACAAAACGCGCCTTCGCGACCAAACTAGCGACTGGACCAAATGGGCGAGCCGCTTCGCCGAGAAGGTGCTCAGCTTTGCGGCTTTTTTGATGCAGAGACGAATAGAGAGGGGTGCCCAAGATTGCGACGGACAAGCGACGAATTAATGAGCCACGCATATCAAGTTAAGGCTGTCTGGACGAAAGAGATGACATTATTTCATGACTAGGATGCACAGGGGAATGGCCAAATCGGCTGAGGATTTCTTGCAACTTCAAACTGTACAGGGGTTAATGTGTCAAATGTGTAATCTCCCAATCATCATACTTCGCTGCTCATGGCATTTTGCCAAGCATAGATTGCTCCCTCTCCTCTTCCCAAAAAGTGAATGAAAAATTGGTAATGGCTCCCTTCCCATCGAATCATGTAGGCCACGATGACGCTTCTAACATTTAGCAGAGAAAAACGCTCGCAAAAGGATCAACGTCCAGCATTATTGGTGACAGACTGCAGATAGCCTAACAAGAAGCTTTGTTCGGCAGGTGAGATCTGCGTCTCCCCACCTCTGGATGCCCTTGACGAGACTCTCGACGACCCAAGGCTGGCGCCTTGTCTGGGATCCGTCCCAGAAACCGGCTCTGCAGCCCCTGGGGTTTTTTCCTTGCCAAATAAAGATAACAACTGTTGCTTTTGTTGGCGCGAATGATCAGGACGGCGATGAGAGTCTCCAGCACTGGCCATCGAGGAAAGCTCAGGAGAAGCCGCAGGAAAGCCGTGGCCGCCATTCTGCACAATAATTGGTGGCTTCTTGGGGGGCGTTTCGCGTTGCTGGACCGTGGGATTGATAATGTCATCGAGACGCTGTCCTCGTTGAAGAATGCGAGGTGGCTGAGGCTGTTGGCCGTGTCCAGAGACAAGCGGCGATCGGGCATGTTGCTGCTGCTGCAGATGGCTCGACTGGGAATGTTGGTTTTGATGATGGCGACGGGAGCTCGGACTCTCTCCATTACGAGTCGAGGGCACAGTTGGTTGATTCGGCCTGGACTGAATGAAGAGCTGCTGAAGAGAGAGCTTCTCACTGGCCGGACCACAGTTCGCTTGGAATTGCTGGAGGAGCGTATTAGGTTCGGCCTGTCCCAGCTGTTGTCCTGGGGATTGTGCGATGGCTCCATGTTGATTCTGCTGCGTATCTCCAACTTTGAATGGTTTTGCTGTGGGATTCGAAGGGTTCTTTTTGAACATGTCCAGAAGAGCAGTGCGATGCGGGTCTGCTCTGGGCTGGACAAAAGGCCCAGCCAATTCCGAGACATTCGTTTGCTCCGCAGAACGACTGGAATTGGGTAGGTTGTAATTAAAGTACGGAGAACTGTGAGCACCAGGGTGAGCGATATAACCAGGAGCAGGTGAGTTCATGGCCTCTTGATTGTCACCAGTAGCCCCCGTCCTAATATCCCGTTTAAATGCATTGAGCAGAGCTAGGGATGCCCCGCTAAGTTTCACGGATCCGGGAGCGGTGGACATCTGACTGTCCTGTTGGCCAGTCAATGACCCAAGCCCGGGTCCAGGGCCAGGAGAGATATTCTGCCCAGTACCGACTTGCTGAGGTGAAGCTCGATTCTGGAATGAGCCATTATCAAGTATCGATCCTTGAACCTGGAGAGGCGGGGGTTGAGAGTGAGCCGAGGGAAGTTGGTGCTGGCCTGGTTGCTGATGCCCGATCGCGTCGACATGGTAATGTTGCAAGTGAGGTTTGTTCATAGGGCTTGGCGGCGGATTCCGAGACGCAGTTCTATGATCCGGCGCATACGGGAAGCAAGGCGGAGGCTGGTGTGACTGAACGTGGATGGGATTAAAATTAGCCTGGTGATGGGGATTTTGTGGTTGGGGAGGTTCAGAAACCGCCGCATTCAGAGGCGTTTGCGGTAAAGCAGCGTTCTGGTGAGTCGGTGGCGCCTGACGACTAGAACTAGATTGAAGAATCGAAAGGAGAGCTGTGCCCTTGTCCTTTTGGGGCGGGGATTGGAGCCCCTGGGTAGGAGGTTGCATCTTCAACAGCCTCTGTAACTCTTGAGTTGCCCCGTCTAGGGTTTCAATAGCAGGCACATGCGATTGTTTCTCGTCATGAACAGGTGCCCATGTATCGTCTTCGGTTGTCGCGACCTCGTCAACGGCAGGGTGATGGGGTAAGTGGCCGTGGGCTCCGCTTGTTGCTCTTCTGTCGTTGAATTTCTTTTGCGAATGAATCCATTTCTTCAGGGGCACAAGGAATGGCGCAACCATGTAGAATTTGTTCACAGATGGTCCATCAGCAGCATGAGTCTGGTTTTGGGTGCCTTTTTTGCGAAACGCAGGAAGTTCCGATAGTTTGTACCATTGGATTTTACTAATTTCCTTGCGAGTCCGCGGCTGGAACTTGGTATCCATGGGAATGTCCCGAAAAACGTAAAGTCGTAGCTGCTGCTCTCTCATCGAGATCTCAATGTATTTGGGCTTCTTCTCAGTGGGTACGAGACCGGCGGCGCGAAGATCAAGACCAGTCTCCTCATAAACCTCGCGGACAGCACAATCCAGGTCATCCTCATCTTTGTTTATCTTGCCCCGGGGAAAACTCCAGTTCGCTCCTTTTTTCCAGCCCTTGACCAATAGCACAGAGTCCATGGCATGGTTAAGCATGATGGCGCCTCGAACGGGAACTCGGGTCTTGTATTGAAGGAACTCCTCGAACGCCTTGGTGTGGTTCTCAACGGAGAAGGACGCAAGCAACGGGCAATGCTGAAAAATTCGCAGGCAAAAGGTCCTCAGCGACATTGAAGGTAAAGTCGGGTCAAGTGGCCTAATGAAATCTTCATAGAACCATTGTGCTTCCTCGACTTGAAAGCATATTCGGGCAACAGAGGAGAGATCTTCTTGGGGAAGATTGATGATGAAGCGGACGCAAAGGTCATCAAGCCCTAAAATGGCGAGGTCAAGTTAACACAGTGCGACATGTTGGGCGTAATGGTCCCAAGACTTGGTGTCAATCAAAACATACAGTCTTCGAGCTGCATTTGAGGTGCTGCCATGGTGTCCCTTTGGCTCATCGCCCATGCCCCGTGCGTCCACGGCGTGTGACAGGTATTTCCGGAATAAAATCAATCCCACTAGCTCACACTCAGGGCTTTTCAAAACAGTCCTCTTCAAGTCGTAAGTGCGAAGGGATGCTTGTCATGGTCGGAGTTCAAGGGAAGCACGGGAAGGTCGTGGCCGGTTCCAGAGAGCGCGCAAGAGCGGGTCGGTCAGTTCTGGAAAAGCAGAAGAGCCACCCTTGGAAAAGTCGAGACGAATGAATGGCAGAATCTTGTAGACAAGGCAGCGTACTTGAGTAGGTTGAGTTGATGGGGTGCGCGATCGCTGTGTTTGGAGGAATGAACAAAGATTGATGTCGCTTGTCAAGCTACTCGTGGTCGAAGTCAAAAGTCACCAGTCACCAGAACAGCTTGTTTGTTGGTTGGGCTGGCAAGCACGGACTACTCCGTAACCAGTAATCTCCGTTGATGGGAGGGCGGGTACTCGGTGATGGGCACAGTAGACACACTGTGATTTCTCAGTGCAAGATGAGACGAGACAGGAATCTAATACAGTGCGTGGTCCTCTTTGGCAACGGTTCTCAGACGAAAGCCACACAAGCCACTTGTAACTGCCCAACGCCGACTAGGTAACTACTTGGGTACTTCAGTATGTGGCTGTGTACTTGCTCAGGCTGCCTCCGTCAGCCGCCCCAGCAACTCGGTGGCCGTCCACATGACGCTCGGCTTCGGCGAGACGTTCGTCTACCTCAATCTCCTGTACTACGTGAGGTAAGAATCCCCTTCCCACAGCGGTAGCGGTCGACGGGGCTCCCAACTTGCCGCCGCCGCCCCTGCTTACGCCTTGTCAGCACCCTCATGCTTCACCGCGAGTACTTCCCCTTCCTGCCGACCCCGGAGTCGGAGCCACGGGGTCCAGTCGACCAGCCCATGCTGGGGGCGCCCGCCCCCGAGGGCTGGTGGGACGACAGCTCCCGACTCCTCTTCGGCGCGGCAGAGCACATCGCCGCCATTCTACACGAGGCCTCCGAGTGTGGCGTGCATCTCATGACGCCCTTTGCCGGGTTCTGCGCATTCTCAGCCGGCTACCTCAACCTCTACGTGGCGAAATACCCCCGAATGAACCTGGGCCGCAGCCCGCGAGCAAGCGACTGTCTCAAAATGTGTCTCGACTACCTGGAAAAGTTTCGACTTGTCTGGAAAATCGCCGACGGATGGGTAAGCCGCCCGCAAGCATGACACGACCGTGGCCACCGTTGCGCTAACATTGAGAGGGCGGCACGCGCAAGATCAAAACGATACACCATGCATCCGTGCTCTACGAGCGAGCAACCGAGGACCGGACACGATACCAGGGGCGCACACGAGCAGACTTTGATACTCTACACCAGTCTGTCCACGAGTTCCGTGTCGTGGATAGATCCGACGCGCATACTCGGGAGATTCGGGGCGCGGAGCGGCCCTCGGCGCAGGCGACTTGGCCGGTTCAAGGGCACGAGCACGAGCACGAGCACGAGCACGAGCTCGACACTAATACCTTGTTGAACCAGCTTTTCGCGGAAGTCAGCAATAACCTCGACGAGCAGGGGGCCTGGTCTCAATGGTGGCCGGCGATTGATCAGGTGGATCTTTAATGAGCTGCGTAATTACATCCGGGGTTTTTTTTTTCGTTGAAGCTTCCAATGAATGAGTGACGACCTTTGATTTTTTTGATTTTTTTTTTAAAAAGGGCTGTAATATCTGGTTTTCTATACATGTCCTATTTTTATTTCCCGGTCTAGAAAAACAGTCAACAGATAATGCACCTCTTCATATGGCTCCCCTCCCGTCACCGCCAACAAATGCATACCTGTCGCGTCAACCATTCGCCGTTTCTCCTTCCAATCACGCCTTTGCAAAGACCTTTCTCGAGTTCATCAGGCGAACAGCAAGCATAAAGAGCATGCCGACAAAAGGCGCCACAACCACGCCAAGAGGACGTTTTTTGAAGCAGCTAAAAAGGCACGTAAATGGCGTCTGGATTCTGTACTAGATCTACTAGAAATTTGGGACGAGAAGGGTGTACATTATAGGCGAAGAGGTTAATAGCGTTATTAGGTTGAAAATTGGCCCGCCTTGGTGTCCGGCCCGCCTTGCTGTCGAGCACCACCTTTGGTGGTGAGGGCTTTTGCTAGCCGAACCACATAAAGTGGGGCGGGCACGATTACCAGGCCAAAGGCGTGTCGTTGCTGGCGCCTGCCCATGGCTGAGTCTCATGCTTCCATGCATCCAGTGCATTCGCCCTGGAGGCTGGTGGCAGCGGCTTCAAACTTGGAGACCATCTGAGGGAGAACAGCAGTGATGTCGATTGGCAAAGTTTTGAAATGAATCAGGAGAGGATAGGCGGCCTCAATGCGGAAGGAAGTCATGCAAGCAGAGATGTACAGGAATGAAATATCATACGACTACAGAGTACAGGGCCAAGAGCTGCATCATAATTGACAAAGAGGGCGTCTGTCGGTGCAACACTGCTGTTGATTGTCAACCCAACAACAGTTGATGCCATGGGTACAATTCAAGCGGCCAGTCCAACGACAAATGCGGGAGTCCGTCATGGAAACGCCGGAGCGTAGCGCTCAGGCCGACAAGAAGCCAAAATAAACTGGCTCGGGTACACTCATGATATCATCCATGGCGCGGCGGGAAAGACGGGAACTTTGTAGGATCTGCAAGGCGATTGGCGCGTGGGTAATAGGCGCTTTGCGACCTGCGCCTCGTGGAGGGAGTACGGAGTACGGAGTACTGCAAGTAAGAATGGGCTGATTGGTGCGACTTGGCCATGGTTAGGATTTACTGTTGATAGCATGTCTTTTTTAAGGAAAAAAAAAATTGCAATAAAAAATCGTCTGTTTAAGAGTGGAAAGTGGCAGCCATGTTCGTGTGCGAGTCTTCGTGGCATGAGGGAGTCGATTTGGCCCCGAGGACTGTGGTCGAAACGTCGGCGTGTAGGGTAACGTCTCGTGCGTCACTGACCCACGCAGTCACGTGTGCGTGACCTTACCGTGCATCCCTTCGCGCGGTCGTCACACCTAATTATTGTCCGTGACAGAAGATTAGGAGCCACGCCGAATACAATCATGTCCGGGCAACTGGCTTCAGCTCAACCTGAACGTCACGACTTTTTAAGAGAGGGAACAGTCATCTTGCGTCGGTTATTTGGATACCACGATGAACGACGCTTACATGGCTGGACCCAGGCCACAAGCCCACGCTGGCCCCATACATTCCCATACATTATCCACCTGGGTACGGAGTACCGCAAAAGCCAAAGACGCGTTTCAGAGAGGCGACCCTCGTGGGCATTGACATCGACGAGCTTCAAGAGCAAGACGGAATGCCGGTGCAATTCCACATTGGCATCTCGGTCGTGGGCACCCCAGATCTGCATGACAAATGCCGTTTGCCTTTATCATGTGCAGATTCTAGATCATTTGATCACGGTAGGCAAAGCAGGATTAAACTGATTGCCGCGTGGAGTTTACGGAACGTGGGCAGGCAAGCTGAGCCTGGCTGCAGCTACCTACTCTTTAATCTTACTACGTTATAACTATCATATAACGGGACCGTTCCCAAGGATCTGATTAGTTGAAGGAAAAAAAACTTCTTCGGTAACTGGTTAACGTCAAATTATGGCCTCCGCCACTCACGTGTGTAACATGGTCTTGTGGTGGGAGTATTGCAGCCCTCGAGTGTCTATTGTATGCCTCACCATACTCACGCCATGCATGGGGAGATGTAGGCTGCATCCCGCCAAGTGGTCCTTGAACAAATGAATCAGATTGAGAAGGCCGAGCGCGAAAGCAACGGAGAAGACGAAACGACCAGCCGTGCGTTAATAAGTTGTCTAGGGACGGGCCCATTAGCCGAGACGAAATGGATGAGTGTATCAGGATTCAGGTAAGAAACCCCGCATTCCCATCGCCACAGGAATCCGTGCGTCATCGCAGGCGATCGCTTTTCTTCGCCTTGCAAAATACTACTGAAAGCCCCAAACTTCTCAACTTCTCAACTTCTCAACTTCTCGACTTCTCGCCAAACAACTGCATAAATACGCCCGCACTCGTTGTTGATTCCCCACTTGAACACAACTCTCTGTCTTCCTGCACATCAACATCAGCCTTGCCAGTCTCTCGGCGCCTCCTACTCCTGTACGCCTACACGATGACGTCATACATCGCAAAGACCGCTGCCAGGAAATTTCTAGGTAAAAAGTTGCAGGACAAGTTCGGTCAAGGGGTAAGTCGATATCTCCCTGCCAAGGCACCTCGCTGCAGTGTCTTCATCACGCATGCCATCAACGTTCACGAGTCTGGGGAAGGAACAAGTAATGCAAACACAATGTGAACAGGACCCCTACTACGAGAAAATTCCCGGTACAAACCGCAAGGGAGAACCGACAGGCAAGCAGGTGAAGCAGAAGCGCGCACTACCCCGTGGTCTTTCAGAGCATGATGCCAAGGTTCTGATGGGAGTGAGGAGAAGAGTTCATCACTTGGACTGGTCATTGTTCACAATATTCGGGGTTGGGTTTGGATGGAGCACCGTCATCGGTATAATTCCTGGGTACGTCTTTTGTCAAGCCCCGTCAGATACCCCTTGTCGCGCCAAGCATCTTCTCATCTCAGGAAACAGAATTGGAGATGCCATTGACGGACTGATGTCGCTGTCAGTCTTCAGAAAATGCTGCAAGGTTGAAGGCGGCCTCCCAGCGTCAGTAAAGCTGCAAATGATGGTCAATGTGGCCCTCGACTTCATCATTGGACTGGTCCCCGGAGCAGAGGCCATATACAGAGGTAATACACGAAATGCGCTCCTTCTCGAGGATTTTCTAAGGGAGCGGGCCGAGAAAAACTTACGCCAGTCGGGACACGTACCAGATCGCGCCCACGCAGAGGGTAGCCGTCGTGAGGGCCAAGGGATGCGCCAAGAGGATTCGAGCGCTCAGAGCAATGGTATCATCACCTCGGATGGATTCGTCGACGGACAGCCGTCTACAAAGAAACGATCTGGCCGACGATGAACACGGGCTTCTCAGACGCAGGCAGTCTGAGGAAGAGACGAATTCATGACGCGAAAGACTGACGCTATTTCGACTTGTTGACGACTGAACTAGTGGTTGAATTAGCAAGTAAAGATTCGAGGCACTGGGCAGGCGACTTTTCTTTTTCTAATTTTTCTTTTATTTAACCAGATTCCAGGGTGTAGCAGGCAAGTTTGTGCGAACGTCTTCAAGTTTAGGATCGATATAGAGAGCAAGGAACTAGATAGCATTGAGATACTTGCAAATAATATAAATTGAGTGCGTAGTCTTTGATGAGTTTACGTGCTTGCCGTCGGAAGAAACTACCAAATTGGATTTGACGGGACGAGGTCCATCGGGAGCCAGCCAAACGAATGGTAGTTGTCACGCGGAAAAATGGGTGTCTCGAGACTCTTCACGCGATTTGAAGATGACAAGCCTGACTGCCAGTCTCACTCGGCTCACAAGTGCGACGAAGACGCGACGTATATTTTATGTGCCCCCTCAGACCCAAACACCACCCTAGGTACTTTGCTTAATGAAAGGGAACTAAAGGCCTCAGTCCTGCGAGTCACACAGTGGGTGTCATACCATCTCCGAGATGCAATTCCGAGCTCCGTCAAGGTCGACGACAGTCATGCAGGGGGTCCAACCATACAGACTCGACGAGGTGGCATGGTGGATGCGTGTTTGCTGATTGATAACTTTGAAATCACTAGCCAGCAATCCAAGTTCTTGGCGGCAAGATGTAACTGCAGTGCAAGGACAGAAAGTACTTAAGTACCTAAGTATCTACTCGAGTAAGCATGTAGCTAGTACCTTGCCACGACGAGCCATCCGCACGCGTCGTTCCCGCAGGCCCTTCGAAATCGAGGGGCTGGTATGCACAGCCCCGGGCAACCGAGCACTCGAGCGTGCGACAAGACGGCCCTTGCGTGCTGGTGCGGGTCCCAAGCTTGTACTCTGTACCTACCTGCCAATGGGCTACCTTGCTGCGGACCTGGATAATGTTAGTTTGACGGTTATGATCGTTTGGCCTTACTAACATCCAAAGGGGCCCGCATTCATTTCGGTACTTCCCAGCCTCTTCCAGGGCAGAGGGGACCAGGGGCCCAAAGCCGCGTTCTTCCCACCGAAAACACGCTTCGACGCGTCTTGTGCACGTGACAACGCACCTCTGCGTTCCGCTTCAGGTTAAAGTACAAAAAGCTCTACGCTACCGCTTCCTTACAGACGCCCTCTCTCATCATCGCGTCCAACCATCTCTCCAGGCAGAACACATAAAACTCGTTTCCTCACAGTGATTGCTCCTTGCCTCCGGTCATCATACAGCCCGTCAAATCACATCACACATCACGATGACCACACAGATCACCCCTTCTAAGCAGGTGAGTGGCAGTTCAAGAGGGGCACCGGCGTGCTGTTCGCAATCTACCGTGCATTGCACAGGAGCTGACTGCAATCCTAGGCCGCTTCGGCCATTAACGCGTTGAAAATGGAGTCGCCGATCAAGAAACTGGATTTTGGCGTCGCCGACAAGGAAAACAAACCTCTCGATGACGCTGCTGTCACTGCCCTCGCTGAGCAGGTCGACGCCGATCACGAATCCAAAAAGGAGAGCAAGAAGGAGGAAAAGACGACGACTGCAATTACTCCTGGGATCAATGCAGAAGAGGCCGATGAGCCTCTCCTCCAAGAGAATCCTCAGCGCTTCGTCTTGTTCCCCATCAAGTATCACGAGGTACGTGACGCGTAAAGACGCGTAAAGTGGCGTTTTTCCATGGTTGACTCTAACATGAGTAACTGCGATTAGATCTGGCAAATGTACAAGAAGGCTGAGGCGTCCTTCTGGACAGCCGAGGAGATCGATCTCTCCAAAGACTTGCACGACTGGAACAACCGTCTCAATGATGACGAAAAATATTTCATCTCTCACATCCTGGCCTTCTTCGCTGCCTCTGATGGTATTGTCAATGAGAATCTGGTCGAGCGATTCAGCGGCGAGGTCCAGATACCCGAGGCTCGCTGCTTCTACGGTTTCCAGATCATGATGGAGAACATCCACTCAGAAACCTACTCCCTGCTCATCGACACGTACATCAAGGAAAACGCCCAGCGCACTTACTTGTTCAATGCCATTGACACCAGTATGTTCAAACGCGACGTCGGCACTCCTGATCGGCTGCTAACTCCGTCCAGTTCCCTGCATCCGTAAGAAGGCCGACTGGGCCATTCGCTGGATCCAGGACAAGGAGTCCACCTTTGCTCAGCGTCTCGTCGCGTTCGCTGCTGTGGAGGGTATCTTCTTCAGTGGTGCATTTGCCTCCATCTTCTGGTTGAAGAAGCGCGGCCTGATGCCCGGCCTTACATTCTCCAACGAGCTCATCTCTCGTGACGAGGGTCTGCACACTGATTTCGCTTGCCTCCTGCATTCCCACCTCAAGAACCGCGCGAGCAAGCAGGTCATCTACGATATCATCACAGATGCTGTCGCCATCGAGCAAGAATTCTTGACCGAGGCTTTGCCCTGCGCTCTACTCGGCATGAACTCCAACTTGATGAAGCAGTACATTGAATTCGTTGCCGACCGGTTGTTGGTCGCTCTTGGCAACGAAAAAGTGTACAAGACGTCCAACCCCTTTGACTTCATGGAGAATATTTCTCTTGGCGGCAAGACCAACTTCTTTGAGAAGCGAGTCGGTGACTACCAGAAGGCCGGTGTCCTGGCCAGTGCCTCGAAGAAGGAAGATGCTGCTGTTTCCGACGAAAATAAGGACGGAGGTGACTTTACCTTTGATGATGACTTTTAACTAGGGCTCACAGATGCGGGGAGCTACCTGCGTTCTGGAGCGGCCTCGGCCTGTTTTTTTCTTTGTCATATTACCAACTGTACATTTGCAAAGCCACTTGAGGCTCACAGTAGCGGCAGCGTGTGTGTGACCGCCGAGTGGGCTGCTTGGCCCCATTTCTGGTATTGTTTTTGGGTAGGTTCTGGGAAGGTTACCGAGAGCCATAATGGCTGGCGTTGGGGGGAGTTGATGGCGGTTATTTGTTTGTACGACCAGGCACTTGAAACAGAGCGCGGTATTGAATGGATAGATGGGTCATGATGTATTGGAGCGCGTTATCCACTCGTGTTTTGCATAATAGACGTGTGCATTAGGGATGAAAGTTATACCGCCTGGTGAGACCCGGTCTTCGTGCCACATGGGGGTTTGTGGATGAAGTCGGATCGAGCCATGCATGGTTGATAATCATCCTCCAAGTTGTTTGGAGTTGATAGCCGTGTCCCCCGTGGTCTGACGAGCCGACCGCGCTGACGGGACTCTCGCGCCGTCCCGAAACATCCGATCCACGCAGTCTACTTCCTCCCCTTCTTCTTCTTCTTGCCGCCGCCCCCGTGATGCGTCTGCTGGCCCTGTTGTTGCGACGCGGGCGTGGCCGCTCCGCTGCCCTTGGTGTCTCCGTCGCCGCCGGCCGCAGCACCGCCTGGCGCATCCGGCACAACCTCCTCCGGGACATCGAGAGGCATGGCGGCCATGCCGCGGCCCAGCCGGCCCAGGGACGAGCACACCAGCCGCGAGACCTCGGCGGCCTTGGTAGTGCGGTACTTGAGCGTCACGCCACTGACGGGGTCGTACGTCTTGATGACCAGGCTGCCGCGGGGGGGTCTCGGCGCGTCCTCGACGGGCGCGTCCCCCTCGGCGTCGTCCGCCCTGCCCTTCCGCGGCTTGCACGGCCGTATCGAGTACTTGGTGGTGATGCGAGTCTGTGGGCGGTCTCGGGCGTCAGCACGTCGCTCTCCCAAGTAGGAACCTCCGGCTGTGGTTTCAAGGAGGCCGATGGAGCCGAGGCGTCGGCTCCCGGATCCGGATACACAGCTCGTGGCTCGTGGCTCGTGAGCGGGCGGTGGACTCTTACGGTGGACGGCCTAGCCTCGAGGAGGAGCGTGGATTGCTCGAGCCATTCTTGGCTCGACTTGAAGTAGGGCATTTGGGCGGATCTCTTCGCCGGCGGTGGCGGCACACGCGTCTCCGATGGTGTGTCTTCTGTGCTGCAGGTTGATCGCGCGGCGTGCTTTGTCGATCTCGCAGTGACAATGGGGTGTGTTTTCGCAGCAGGGAAAGGATTGAGTGGCGGGTGTGTGGTCGCGGTCTGGTGATGGACCGCGGTCTATGGATGAGCATTGAGGGGAGGTTGAGTGTGAGGTGGGATGAGATCTGCGGGGCTTTCTTTGGCAGCTGTGTGACAGCTGACCTGGGCGAGAAGCCCGTCTTTTGTTTCCCTCCCTACCCTAGACGGAACGGCGGATGAGTTCATGGGCAGAAATACACACCACACATTTGGTCGGCTTCCACTGGCATTTCTGCGTGATTTGGTATTCTTTACAATGTGCAATGAAGTCAAACACAAAACACAAACACAAAACACAAAATAACCTCATAGAGGTTCGGTGGGGTTATATCCAGAGCGCCTCGTGAATGTCGCCCGCCATGACGGAAAGGGACTGCGCATCACCGTGCTTATCATCTCTTGAAATTGCCGGTCATACAACTAGATTAGACCTGTACAGCTTCAAACGCCCGTGCGGCGGCGGGACGCACCGCACTTTGAAGCAACATCCTATGCCGCTTCCCCAGCCCACCATTCCAGGATTCAAAGGTATATTATACATGTATTCTCCCCAGCCACGACATATGCGGTAAATAAAGATATTGTATCATTATGAAAAACCAACCTTGCGCCACACCCACAGTTGCATGTATGCATAGCCCGACCTATCGGGACACCATCTAAGTGCCCATGTAAGAGGTGTCCGGCAACCAGAACAGCAAATCTTGATCTGCCGTGGCGAAGAAGTTGAATCGGGGATTGAAGGCGACGACGGCTGTTTCCCTCTTGTCGGGCAGCGTCCAGTTGGGCTCCATTACTTTGCTGTCGGGTATCGAGGATAGAGAATCCCACACCAAGATATCCTGCCTTGATCCGCTGATGATGAAGCGGCCATCGGGCGCAAAGCAACAGTCTCCGCTGCTGTCAAAGTTGGAAGGATCCGTCGTCGCGTTGCCGTTGGATAATGACGCCGCCTCGCCTGGGGCCTGCCGCTTGGTCCCGCCCGTGGGCTTGTGCAGGTAGGCTTTCAGGGTTCCCTCAAACGCATCCAGGAGGAAATGTCCGTTGCCCTTGGTGCCGACGAGCAGCGACTTGCCGTCGTTGGAGAACTCCAGCTTGGTCCAGCCCTTGACGAGGTTGTGCTGGTCAATCCTGCTGCACTGCTCCACCACGTCTATGGTCGAAAAGGGAGCCTTGTCATAGTTACGAACGTCGTATAACAGCACGGTTCCGCTGCTGGGGCACGCTACGCCAAAGACCATGCCCGAGGGATCGTACGCTGCGAGATACGGCGACTTGAGAAACAGTTGGCCCTGCCAATGTTTGGACTGAGTGTCCCAGATGCGGACGGTGTTGTCTTGAGAGCAGGAAATGAAGTTGTCGCTGCCGGGATGTACCGCGAGATTGGTCACGTTGCCTTCGTGCCCTTCAAAGTAGCGTATGAAGGAGTTGTCGTGGGTGGCGAGGTACCGAATGGCGTCTGAGAAGCAATGTCAGCTGGCGGGAAGATAACACTGATTCGTGAGGCGCGGGCCACGTTACTGTTCTGCTTGGTGCTGGCGTATATGATGCTAGAGTTTGTGTGCGTGTACTTGGCCAGTTTGACGCCGTACTTTTTGCTCAGGAGGCTCTTGTCGTGGCGGCCCTCCTTTACGTTGTATATCTGTATCGTTTCGTCGCTGGCAGACGTCATCAACAGCTCGCCCTCGTCGTCGTAGTCGATGGACAGCACATGTGGCGTTGGACGACCCTCCTTGATGTCTTGGCGCCGGAGCAACTGGGAGCGCACAAACTAGAGTCAGAAGCAGCGCTCAACGTGTACAGCCGCGCGAGCTGGGCGGTGCCGGGGGACGAGTCGTCATTCGTGAACAGAGGAGGATGCGGATGCGCGCGCCGCTCACCTTGGTAGGTCGAAAACAGGATATGACGTCGCTCAGGTTAGATACAGATGCCGTCCCACCAAACGACCTCTGAATATTCAGAGACTGCCCATTGATGGACACGCCGCTAGGGCGGTCCAGGTCCATGGAAGTCGACGACATGGACATGTTTCAACGGCTCTCGCGGCAGCCCAAACGCGCGGGTGCGACGCGTGCGAGGTCATGCGAAGGCGCGGGTTTAGGGCGACGTGGTAAATTTGTGCTGCTGCCCCGACGAGTTATGGACGAGGACGATGATGTGTATGCATTTGTCACCAGTGGGGGTCTCATCGGAGACTTGAGAATCGGACGAGAGCGCAAGCCACAACAGGACAACCAGACATGGCCTGCGCCTGCCGTCCTTTTGCGCCACGTCACCGCGAATCCAATGTGTCTCCATTTTTTTTGAAACCTCACAGGCGGCTGTCGCAGATGAACCCGTCATCTTTATCCCAGTGACATATTTTTTCCATCCCGAGTTCGAGAATAAGTCATCATCCCCCGGCTGCATCGAATAGCCCCAGCTGCTTGCCGGACAGGCTTTCCGCCTGCCTCGTCGCCGTCGAGCCTCGAAGCCGCCCCCCACCTCTCTCTGGCATTTCACGACGCTTGAAATAGATTGGGCGGGCGTGCCTGGTCTGGCCGGGCGCACTGGTATTTCGAGGCTCCGGAAGTTGAGGCCAACCTGCGCGCGGCTATTGCGGTCGTTATATCTGCCTGCACCGAATCTCTGGCTTGATTCATCGTGAATCCTTCTCCCTTGCCTGTCCTTGCGCTCTGCTCCTTCTTTCGACCGTGAGAACCGCACATCAATCTACAGTCGGCGGCTCCGAGGCGATGTCGACAACGCTGGGGTATGTGCTTCTATAGCGCAAGACTCCCATCGCATCACTTGCTACCATTTCCTCGCTTCCCGCACTTCAGAGGAGGAGTCGCTGACTTTTTTTTTTTGCAACATGTAGAGCATTCATCGCAGGCGGCGTCGCAGCTTGCGGTGCTGTTACCGCCACTCACCCGTTCGAGACCGTCAAGATCCGGTACGTCTTACTCTTTTGTCTCGCCGCTCGTCCCCTCTTCTACGCGCCCCGTATTGGATTCATCTTTCATGAGGCTCCCTGACATTTCTCCTCCTTTGGTCGCCACAGAATGCAATTACAAGGCGAGCTCCAGCAAAAGGGACACCAACCACACCACTATCGTGGCCCGATTCACGGCGTGGGCGTCATCATACGAAACGAGGGCTTACGGGGCATCTACCGTGGTCTGGGAACAGCCTACATCTACCAAGTTCTCCTCAACGGCTGTCGGTTGGGTTTCTATGATCCCATGCGCAAAGGTCTTGCGACCTTGTTCCTCAACAACGAAAAGGCCCAGAACCTCGGAATCAACATGTTTTGCGGTGCCTTCTCTGGCGTCATTGGTGCAGCCACCGGCAGTCCGTTTTTCCTCGTCAAAACCCGGCTTCAGAGCTATTCGCCCTTCTTGCCAGTCGGCACCCAACACCAATACCGCAATGCTTGGGATGGATTGTCAAAAATCTACCGGGCCGAGGGTGTCGGCGGCCTGTATCGCGGAATCGGTGCGGCAATGATTCGCACCGGCTTTGGCAGCTCCGTTCAGCTGCCGACATACTTCTTCGCCAAGAGACGGCTGATGCGACACGCTGGCATGGAAGAGGGGCCTGCTTTGCACTTGTCCAGCAGCGCTGCCAGTGGCTTCGTCGTCTGTTGCTTCATGCACCCCCCCGGTAAGTTGCTAGTATTTTCACCCGAAAAGGACAGAAACAGGAGCAAACGCAACGTAGCTGAAGAGGGGAGCATTCACAGCTGACGCGTGCATCGACCATAGATACCATCATGTCTCGTCTATACAACCAAAACGGTAATCTATACAAGGGCGTCTTCGACTGCTTGGGCAAGACAATCCGCACCGAGGGATTCTTCGCCATCTACAAGGGATTCCTGCCTCATCTAGCTAGAATCCTACCTCATACCATCTTGACGCTTTCACTGGCTGAACAGACCAACAAGCTGGTCAGGAAGTTTGAGGGCCGCTTGATGCCTATTGTCGCCAAAGCGTAAATGGCTCCAGGCATCCAGCCGGGACCCCTGTTGCGCTGCACATATATGTATATACGCCACTGCCGCGTATTATAAGGAAATCGGACGACTCATTTGGCACTTGGTTTTATCGTGTCAATTTTTTTAGATTTTTCTAGAGGTTTGTTTTTGGCCTTTTTGGCTCTTTGCCCTTTTGGCGTGGCGGGATTTTTGCTAGACCAAAAGTAAAAAAAGTAGACTTGGGCATCAGTGCTGCACGATTTCGGCTGAACAGATGGGCATGGCTCAGGAAATTCTTCAGTTACGCAGATGTGGAGTTTTCAAATGCTAGATATATAGATGGACATTTATTCAGGGCACGTGCCTCTGGGTATCTTTGATATTCTCTAGTATAGTTTACTGAGACATCACATGAAGACTATAGATGTGTTTAGTTCCTTGGCACGTTTCTTTGGCCTCTTATCCGTCGATGGACCTCTTGCATCCATAGCACAGACGCGCGGCGCGAGAAGTGACATGACATGCATCTACATCGTCACCGAGCTCACCAGCCCAGCGTGAATCACCCTGCTCGTCCAAGGTCATGCCACACATGAGACAAAAGCTTCCGCTAGCAGCTCTGTCCAGTTTCCCCGTGGTCCGCACGACGTTGGCCACGATACCCGACTGAGGACCGTCCACGGCGTCGAAATATCGTTCCATGACTTCGGTAATGCTCAGGTCTTTGTGCGAAACGACATTTCCCGCGGTCGAGTTGTCCTCGGGCATGAGCTCCTTCAGAGAAGGCACAAGATCGAGATACAGCTTGATCTCATTCTTGAACAGCTCCCTCAGCGGATAGTACACCGGCATTTGCACCCGCCGCACGTCCTTCCTCCCGGCAGGAGCAGGCCGCGAATCGTGCGTGCAGACCGCAAACGGACCGTCGTTTATCTGCCAGGGAACAGCAAAGCCCCGTCCGTTTGCCACCTCTGCAAAAGTCAGCGCCGCAAGAGCCGACGTGCTATGCCCCAACAGCAGGGCCGTGTAGGACCTCTCCAGCGCCGTGTCCAGCAGAATATGGCGTACGAAGAGCCGCAGGATATCCGCCCTGGAGGTCACCGACGGCAGTGAGTCGAAGAAGTCGCGCAGGCGGCCGACGTGGTCTCCCGCCGCGGGTCCGTTCACGTCGGGGCGACCCAGCGCCGACCAGTCCAGCGTCTTGACGGCGCAGATCTTGCTCAGGTGCACGCACTCGAAGGAAATGTTTGGGAACCGCTCCCGATACTTGGACAGCAGGCGTTGCGCAGGACCGTCCTTCTGGTCTGCGGCGCGAGACAGGTCCGTGTCGACGTGGACGGCCAGGGGCTCAAATGCGGGGGACGACTTTTTCGACTGGTAGAACCTGGCACAGCTGTCTAGGAGCTGCATCATGACGGTGGACGATGGTCCGAATGACAGGCCGGCGAGATATCGCCGCGGCCCGGGGCGTCCTGGAGGCCTGGTGTCTCTGCCGACGGCTCCCAGACGCCGCCCTGCCTTGTCTTCGACGTACTCGACGAAGCAGTCGCTAGGGAATCCATCTTTGTCAATACGTGGGGTTTCAAGCGAGTCTGTGAGAGGCGCGAGGACGTGAGGCAAGTGGCAGTCGACTCACCGGCATGCTGGCCCATTTCGCAGGTCGTATGGCGCGTTTGGGTTTTTGCAACGCTCGCATGGCTTTGGGGCGGCCGACGCGGGAGGCATCTGGCTGGCACGGGTACAGTGCGGGATAGAAGAATTCTGATTTTTTTTTCGGGAATGTACATGTAAAATATATTATGTAACTTACTTATCGAAAAGATGTGGATGGGGAATGAGGTGGTAACTAACTTACTACTTGGTGGAGGTTCGGAAATCTGCTTAGCATTTCTGATTTGAGTTAAAGGTGCAAGTCGCGGGAGGCCACAGCGGCCAGGCTGGGCACCTCCTCGGTACGTGGCACACGGCACCAGACATTGGCCGCTTAAAGTTAGTCCGTAACTATACACGTTGCATGTATATCTGATATCTGGGACACAATGCATTTGGTGTAAGCCATACTCGAGGCGGGCGGTTGCGGTGTTACTCGCGCGCATAGCATGGTTGCCGCAGTCGCCGCAAAGAAGCCGGCACAGTATGGGTAGACCTACCCCTACCCTACTTAGGTGATACTTAACCTAAGTACGGAGTACTCCGTACTCCGTACTACCTACTTCTTAAGTAGAGCGAGGCGCGACTGCCCCTACTTGAGTAGACGGACGGACCATCGGCCGAAACCAGCCCTGGCACTTTAGCCGCAACTGCAGGCGGCCCACCAGCCAGCCAGTCGACCTGTGATGAGCTGGGACTGCCTGTGGTTGGTTGATGACTGTGACCACTGTCCAGGTACAGGTACAACAAGTACGCGCTCCGCACTCCGCACTCTTTACTCTGGACTTTGTGTTGCTTTCGATATCGTCGAGACTGTTTGCGAGCTGCGGCCCTGGCCTGGATCTTGAATGTTCTCCCGCCTGTTTTTGTATTTACTCATTTATTATTTATTTTCTTTTTTTTTAAAGCACTCACACTTCTCAAGTGTCCGCTCGCTGACAACCGCCGACGCCAACTTTAAAAAGTTGACCAGCTCCAGCTCCGCTTGATGAGGCTGCTCCACCGCTGAAACAACCCCTGTCCTTTGCCCTCGTCTGGCAGACTAGACCAAGTAGACTTCGTCCTTTTACCTTGTTGCTTCAGCCAGCCAGGCCAGCCAGGCAGCTAGTGAACAAGTCATTCATTCATTCATTCATTCATTCACCCAACACACCCGCCCATTCATCCATTCTTTCTTTTCTTCGACACGACACGTACGCATGCGCCACTGTTCATCTCATCGTCCGACCGACTGCGCCTCCTTCCACCTTCCAGCCCAGAGCTGTCTAGAACTACCGAGGGACCAAAAAGTCGTACACGACTGGTGCCTCGACATTTCGAGTTGTTGCCCTTTGTCTTCTCTGGTCGCCATCCCGAGCCTCCGACTGTCATGTCTTGACGACCCGGCTTGACCTCGAGCTTTCTTGAGCACTTCGACCGAATCACCTCGCCCGCCCCCCATGATTCCGACTGCCGCCGTAGCTTGCGGATAGCCAAATTTTGTACTGCGTCGCTATTTTAGGCCATTCGTCGGATGCCAGAGGTCGAGGTCGACCCGGACGAACTTCTTCTCTCTCGCGCTGACCCACCGACATCGGATCGATTCCTACATTCCCCCAACGGTGCCGCAATATCGAGGCTAACTCGAGCTGACCAACCCAATTCGTGTCTCTCCTCCGCAATACAACATCCTACATTACCACTTGACTTCACCTTTCCGGCTCGAGCCCCAAACGTTCTGTGAACATAGTCGTGGTGCGGATTGCAACAGGCCTTGGGTCCCGCCCAACGAAAGGCTTGTTGCTTCATCCCGGGACGAGGACTGCTTAGCGCAGGCTGCTATAGCTGTCTCGACTCAAGTACCAAATCTCTACCGCGAGATCCCGCCTACCTCCGAGACCTTCGTTGAATACTCACTTAAGCCCCATCACTGTCACGGGCATCCTTATAATCGTGTAACCATGGCTGCTGCCAAGGCCATTGACGTCGCGCCGCGAACGAACACGGGCTTCGACAACGTTAGCGACGCAGCGGGCGCCTCCTCATCTCGAAATCGGCCGGATAACAGATTACGTACCGACCTCAACCAGAATAGCTACTTCGAGTCTGATCGAGTAATAAAATGCGGCTATGTTGAGAAGAGGACAAAAACCAAGGTTCGTCGGCCAAGAGACTGTGCGTCTTTATGTGATCCCGAGCCATGTTCACTGACCTGTCGCTGTAGAACTGGAAGACGGTGTACCTCGTCTTGCGGCCAAACACGCTATCGATGTATAAGAACAATAGAGAGACAAAACTTCGCCATCAGGTGCACCTCTCGGATCTTTCCGCCGTTGCCTATCTCAAGGATCCCAAGCACAAGCGCGACCATGTCTTTGGGCTCTTCTCCCCGTCTCGCAACTATCACTTTCAAGCGCTGTCACAGCAAGACGCCCAGGAGTGGGTAGAAACCATACGGAGAGAAACACGGATAGAGGAGGAGGACGAGCTGTTCCTCTCAAGCCCTTTGGGTCGGAGTGCATCACCCATGGGACTAATGCCGACGGGAAAAAGCGGCCCGCCACATGCCTTGGACGGTCACGACGCAGGCAGGGTGTTGTCAAGCTCGCCCGAGACCTACGGGCCTCCAGAGTCGGGGTTTGTGATGGACGCGGATAGTAGACGAAGGTCATATTTCCTCGACTCATCAGGCATGTCGGGTAACGAGCTACCGTCGCATTCTGATCTGTCAGACAACGAGACACCGAGACCTCCAGGTTTGTTGATGGACAATTCCGCAGAGGGCCTGTCATCTGTGAGCGTGGAGCTAACTGCGCGCCTAGCCACTACAAACCTTTCGGGCAGCCAAACAAGTATTTCCAACAACCTGGGCAGCAGTGGCCTTGGCGCTCCGGGAGAACGACATCCCGACAGAGTCATCTGGCAAGGGCGGCTCTGGCAGCTACGGAGTAGAGGGGTGAGGCCATGGAGGGAAATGTGGGGAGTGCTCCGACCCAGAAACCTCATTCTCTATAAGGACCAGGATGAGTATACGGCTCAGTTGATTCTTGGACTCTCTGCTGTTGTCGATGTTGTGGATACGGATTCCGTCAAGAACAAGGACAATTGCGTGCAGATTATCACGGAAGAGAAGAGCTACAGGTTCTGCTTCCGTGACGAAGAGGCGCTGGTGCAGTTTATTGGAGCCTTCAAGAGCCTGCTTGCGAAGCGGCGAGGGCTTGAGGCGAGGGCGGCTACGTCGTCTCTATGACCTTGACTGACATGACGCACGAGGGTTGGAAAGGGTTGAGTCTCCTGGTCAAGGGAGCACCAACCACGCCTGCCAATGGCGAGCGTTTACGACTTACGACAGCCACTGCACTTTATTCTTTTACTGTTCAAATGAGCCGGCTATTCATGGACTCGGTATCTTCGTCTTCCCAGCCTTTCAATTCTACTTGCCTTGCGACATGAAATACTGGTGTAAAGATTCTTGCATGACATTTTGTTATTTCAAGCGGCTGGATGCCCACAATGCCGCTATAGTTAATCGGTGGAGCGTTTTTGTTCTGTATCCCAGAGATATCAGGCGCCCCTTTGGTGTCTTGCAAGGTTTGGGTTTCGAGCACACGGCGACACCGTGTGTTGTATATCCACTTAATCGGAAGAGCTGGATGAACGTGTTTATGAATTGAACTTTCTTTTCTCAGCCTGTGGTCTCTGAATGATGCTGACACTTGCGTTGGGGGATGATTCTTCACAAAGGGCATCACGCGACAAGCTTTTTTCAATTTGGGCTGCCCTTGTGCCCGTGCCCGTGCCTGCATGCCTTGTTCTGTTTGGGCCACACGAAGGCCAAAGAGCCGGCGGCAGTGATCACGGGCGAGTGTGATGACGTGTGTGAGTTTGCAACTATGAGGCCAGCCAAATGACGCGCAACACTAACAGCACCAGGGTTTCAACTGCCCTCGACGCGGATGGAGATGGAGAGAGAGTGCAGCGGCGGGGAACGCGGTGCCGACAGACGAAGGAAGGAGCCAAGGTGCCGCCCGGGCAAGGGCAAGAGCAAGAGCAGGACGATCCGATGCACTCCCGTCCTCGACGACGGGTGACTCTTGTTCTTCTGCCAGCGGGATCTCGCCCTCCCACGATGCCCGAAGCAGCCGACTCCCCGCGTTGTCTGCAAGGGTCCGGGGGCGGCCATCGCCTCTAGTTCAGATTTCCTCTGGAGCTAAAGCCGGGAACCAGGAGTCCAGGACCCCGTGCCGTTCTCTTCGGTTCACGCGAACCATGCCGACCCCACCACTGGCCTAGTTGACTGCTACCGCCAAGGCAGACGACTCGTCCTTGGATCCTACTGGGTCACGAGCGAATCGAGGCTTCAGCTCGGTTCGATAATGGAAGCGTCATGGCCCGAGGGATGAATTTATACACGACGGCTGCGTCCGGTCGTCCGCCTTCCTTTTCCACATTGCGAGAAAATCGTCACCAGCATCAGGAAACACGCCGCCAAAACTTGTTCAACAGATCTCCTTCCTTGCCACAAGAGGGGCGGTACAAGCAAGCATCATTTGTTTGTCTGCGAGACGGAGACTTGCCGCCTCACTTGACTGACGGCAATGAAAGTCGTGGCGCAGCTGCTAGCCCTCAGCTACGGCTTTGTCGCCCTCGCTGCGTCTGCAGCAGACAAACCCCATGTGCCGCTCAGTTCGTCAAGTCGCTGGATCCTCGACTCGACCGGAAGGCGAGTCAAGTTACGCTGCATCAACTGGGCCGGTCACCTGGAGGTCAACGTCCCCGAGGGTCTGAACAAGAAACCTGTCGAGCACATCGCCACGTGGATTGCTAGCCAGAGCTACAACTGCGTACGCCTGACCTACTCCATCGACATGGCACTCAACCCGGCCCTCAAAGTCCAAGACTCGTTCCGCGCAGCAGCCGCCGCAGCGGGCGTCCCGGAAGCCGACATGATGCGCTTATATACGGCGGCCGTCGAGGAAAATCCCTTCCTATCCAGCGCCACCGTCCTCGACGTCTTTGACAGAGTGCAATCTGCTCTCTGGGATCGTGGCGTCATAACCATCCTTGATAACCATGTCAGCAAGGCAAGTTGGTGTTGCGACTTGTCCGACGGAAACGGGTGGTGGAACGACGCAAAGTACTACATGGCAGCGACAAGTCGATACTTTGATACGCAGAAATGGATCGACGGCCTCGAAGCCATGGCTCACTGGAGCGCTTCTCGCCCTGGCATCGTCGGCATGTCTCTCCGCAACGAGCTGCGCGCGCACATCACACAGATACCCTGGGCGCCCAGCACCTGGCTCGAGTACATGGCTCGCGCAGGAAACGTTGTGCACGCCCAAAACCCCCGGCTTCTCGTCATCGTCGGCGGCATCAACGGCGGCACAGACCTCTCGCCCCTGCGCAAAGACGTCATGAATCTCGGAAACTGGACCGACAAGCGTGTCTGGGAAGCCCACGCCTACAGCTTCACAGTCATGACGCCCAGTCTTGGAAGCTGTGCCATTCGCCGAGCCGAATTCGGCGGCTTGTTCGGATTCGTGCTCGAGCAGAACAAGGCCAGCACCGGTCCCTTGTTCCTCTCCGAGTTTGGTGTCGGCATGACTGGCGGACCGCACGATGGCCTCGACGACAAGGACCACGCCTATCTCACGTGTCTGGTAGGGTATATGGAGAACAACGACGCGGACTGGGCTCACTGGGCTGTGCAAGGGTCGTACTATGTCCGTGATAAGACGGTCGACCGTGACGAGACGTGGGGCGCGTTGGACTACGAGTGGTCGGACTGGAGAAACCCCAAGTTCAAGGGGATGCTGGGCAGCATGTTTGCCGTCACGCAAGGGCCGTAAGGGGATGTGCAGGACCAGTGGGGGAAAAGGCTCTCCGGGGTAAATTCCGAAGCTGCCTCTGGTATATGTCCGGTAAACCAGGTGGAACACCAGAACCACGGGGCTTCTTCTCCTTGATCAAAGCTCAAAAAACAAGGGGTATATCTGTATTTGTGACAATAACTTGCTGTCGTGAAACCCTAGACGCGCCAACCCAAGTACCCTTGCCGAGTTTCCCGACGATTTTCCCAAACGAGCGCCCAGGTCCAACAGTCCAACTAGACTTTTTCCTCTTCATTCCTTTCTTATAAAAAAGACCCTGGGTTCCAGTACCACACGCCCGGTTGTTTACATGTTGCAAGAGCCATCTTTTCCCCGTGCCACACATGTATCCCTTCACGTGCGTACGTACACTCGACCCGCCAGTCTCTCTGCGCACGTCCGGCGCTATACATCTGCGAGAAGGATGCGGCCGGACCGGCCTCCGTTCCGTTTCGTTCCGTTCCGTGCCGTGTTGTCTTCTTGTTTCCCGCCCACTCCAAACCACCGCTCAAGCGTCGTCGACTTTGTCGAGGCCGAAGAAATTGGCATCAAAGTCCCCGTGCTCCATGGCATCGAATGTGTTGTCCCGGTCGTTCATGAGGTCGTCAAACGTGTCGCCCCCCATGCCGTCCCCGAGACTAAAGTCAAAGTCCATGCCGTCCGCCTGCCCGTCGCCGGTGAAGACGTCTGCCGGTGCCGGTTCAGCCGTCGGTCCCTGTCCCTGTCCCTGTCCCTTCTTTTCCATGTCCACCAGTGTGCTGGGCTGGCCACCTGCCGGCCGGCCCTGTCCTTGGGGTGCGTTCGCTGTCGGGGCTGGCTGCTCTGCCGCGTTGGGCGGCAGCATGTTTACCAGGGAGGACATGTTGCCGGTTGCGCCGTCTGCGGCGTCGAACGAGGCGAGATCAAACGACGGCTCGGGGGGGTTGTTGTTGCTGTTGATCGTGGTGGTGGTGGTGCCGGCATTCCCGCCGCCGCCGCCTGGATGGTGACTGTGCGTCGGCCCTGTCGGCGCCAAGGTAAACTCCATGTCGGTGAAATTCAAGTCTGGATTTGTCAAATCCAGCACGGCGTCATCGCCGCCGCCGCCGCCGTCCAGGCTGGTCTGGGTCCCTTCCAGAGTCACGTCCATCTGCGCCATCGGGGCCTCGTAGCTTGCTTCTTTGCCCGCCGTTTTCACGGGCCCGGAGGACGCTGCGTGGACGCTGCCTGGTGCTTCCGAGGGCAGGTCCTCTTCCTTGACGGCCGCAGGGGGCTGTGGTGAGTCGGACATGCTCAAGTCCAGGCCCAGGCCCAGGCCCATGTCGGGGATAGGGGCGCCGCCCGGCTTGTTGCCGCGGCCGTCTTGATCAATCGGTTCTTCTTTGGGGGCTACTTGTGGCGACGAATCTATGTCGATCGCCATGGGGGACTTTGTCTGTGGTACCGCCTGGGTCGGTTGGGCGAGCGATCGTGATTCATGGGAAGAATGGTTCTGCGCCTTTAACTGGTTGAGATCACGGAGGAGCACGGATTTGGCACGAATCTAAATCGGCCCGAGGGTTAGTTGATGCTGTCTCCGAGAGGGGGAGAACCAGGGGGCTGGATGGGCGTTGGGACAACGCTCAATCTTACAATGTCGTTTTCGAGATCGTCCAGAGCCGAGTGAAAGGCCCTGATGGTGTCTGGCAGCTTGGGCTGCAAAAGTCCTTGGGAAGGAGGGAGGTTGCCTTGGCTGTCTCGCCGCGAGGCACGGAGGGCTTTGCCTGTTTGCACGAGCTGCGGACAGGTGAGCATGGCTGCTGGCGATTGTGAGGCGGTTCAACTGGCGCAATGGCGCGCGAGATGCAAAGTGAATGAATGGTTGGGAGAGGCACTCTTACCACGTCGTTGACAAGCAGCTGAAGGGCGTCCAACGGGTCTTTTGCCTTGGGCGTGGTCATCATGAGGCAGGTGTGTCAATGAGCTGTGCTGTCTGATGGAACGGGGCGACGTGGTGGGATTCGGTATCGTGCTCGTGCGCGCGCGGTTGCTCGAAAATGTGGACGGGGATGATCGTTGATGATGGCCGAGAAGTCGAAGGATGCAGCATGTCAGCGACAGGCCGCGCGCCAAAGCGCCCATGTGGATCGTGGAGAGGTTGCAGACAATGTTAGTCAGCCGCAGCTTACCTACCCTGGAGCTCGTCTACCCACCAGTGGACCTCTCCAGGTTCGTCATTGTGAGGATAGGATGTATATGCCAAATGAGGCGCCTCTTTCCCAGATGGAGTGAATCTAGTCTGTATTCATACCGATAAACACAAGGACGGCCCCTTTGTCGGAACGATATGATCAGTAAGCCCGGAAGCATCACTTACAACCCGCACAAGGAAACACTGACTCTTGAATATGCTATAGCTACTTCATTACCTGGAAATTGGCGCTTTAGTACGGTGATGGTCATATGAGGCTTGTCTTCCGTTTCTGCATCCCGTGGTCTTGTTTTGCCCTCTTCGTCCAAGTTAAAGCCAGCTGAAGTCGCAGGGCGGCTGGACACAACTTCTGCTCCCCCCACAGCATCCATCGACGATGGGTGGAAATTGTCTGGGGAATAGTTGTAAACTCACTTCAATTTAAGCTCTATAACTATTGCGTGCATGATGTAGCTTTTTGCAGGGAAAAAAAAAGGCAAACAATAGCAAGAAACAGTAAGCGCTTCTTCGATCCAGATCTTTGGGAATGGTTGCGACATGGGCCGGGGGCGGTTTGGCCTCCTGCCCCAGAACGAATCGCGAGTTCCCAAGATGGCGGGCTACTAGTTTCAAGCCGCATGTTTCGGCTGATCCCACGGCTTGGAACTCTGAGACCCGGACCCTGCCGTCGGTAGCCACGTACGTTAGTTGATAGCTGAACACCAAAGCGCTGCAGTCCATTGAGCTGTCCTGGGGAGTCATGACAAGTGAACTGAAATTTACAACGTTGGTGCGAATACCCAAGGATAGTTCCCCCAATGCTTAACCCTTGACCGCCAGCCAAAAACCTCAACGCACCAGAAACTGGGCACTTTGCTTCTTGTTTCCATGGTAGAATCGCTTCAGACATGCTCAAGTGGTCTCAGTCGTAATCGCAGACTTGCTATCGTCCGGCACTCCAACGTATAGCTCGCCTCTTGTTAACCATCGGCGGGCTCTTGATGAAGCGAGTGCAAACAACCCTTTCGTTCTATATTCCATACGGCGAGCCACTTGTGATGCCTTTGTGATCGGGCATGAGGATTTTGTGTCTCGTATTCTACCATATGGGTTCGCAAGGCCAACCGATAGGTAACAAACCACCTCGACGATAGGAAGTAGGTCGCAGCACTTTTAGCACGAGCATGATAGACGGAATGTATAGACGCGATACCACTGGCACACAAGCCGTGCTCGAGGCCGTAGTTTCATATCTCGATATGCATCAGCATGTCTAAAGAGTATGACAGTGAATTAGATGGAGCAAAGACGCGCCCTGGGATGCGAAGCATCAAACACAATACCTGGAATTGACAACACCGACCCTGCCGATTTCACGAGCAAAGTTTCAGGACGAAACAGATGGTCTCGCCAACTCGTCACCACACTCTCGACACAAAGCCTGACGGCTTGGTCTCTGTGTCGGGATATGACCTGGCCATGTTTTGTGTTTTGTTTCGAGGGTGTGGCGGCGGTTTGGACGCTTCTGGGGGTGCGGCAAGTGGAGCTTGACTGACGGACACTACGCCGTAAACAGACTAGCGGGTGTTAAAAGGCGGGGTACGTACACATCCAAGTCAGTCGTCGTCAGTCTTTGCATGTGTGTTGTTGCTCTTTGGAGTTGACTGATTTTTTTCTTGAGCCCTACGCGAGACGCTTTATAGTTGTTTCTCAGCGGACACACATCGTCATTCTCTTCTCTCCCCGACCAAGGGATCCAGCACGTGTGAAGAGTAATCCTTTGGTCTTTGATTACCCTCTCAACATGCCCTAATTCCCATCTACGTGGTAGCAGAGAGCCACTCTCGGTGCTTATCATGTTCTGAGCGGTGCCACGTATCGCCTGTGTTTTCACCAGCAAGGCCATACCAATGAAAAACACTCCTGTAGAGAAATCAACGCGTCTGACAGTTGTAAATGACATCAAGACGCTACCTTTGTTGCCACTCATGGCATCCCGGATACAATGCTCTCTACCATATCTCGCAACCGTTACCGTTGACGCAGCATTCTGAATGAGTACTTTTCCAAGCGCGCCGTCCTAAAGCTGTTAGGACTTGTCAATCAGCAGATATGAAAGTTCATGTCTGGCTTGGACTTTGCCCACATTTCACCCATCTCTGCGTTTGTCCCATGGCACCCTCGGGCGGCTTCCCCGTCTGGCGGCGAAAGAATTCCCACGACATGACAGATACGTTCTCCCGCCGGGCGTATTTATTCTATAGGTTGCTTCGTATCCAGTGGCACGAGTCGACACCATTGGGACCTTGATAAGTAACCCCAGATACATCATTCATCGCAACAGTTGCGAGCCCAGCCTGCTGGTTTGATGACTTATACAACATCACACGAGAAGACGCCGAGATTATTCGCGACATGGTCCCGTGAACGCCTTTGTGTTGGAATTGTCAATGGCAAGCTGAAGTTGGCAGTCATCAACGCGGGTTTCTTGATCAAAACTAAGAGGTCTGTCGGCTCAATGACGGGGTTGTACAATGCAGGCCAGGAGTAGCAGCATAACTCTTTCCGACGCTCCTTCCCCTCTCTCTGACTTGTGTCTGTCGTCGATCTCGTACGGAACATCTTGGAAAGAGATATCTGTAATGTTGATATGTGATTCATCGTCTAGAGCACGGGCCCTCATGTTTTGCAGTGGCAGAGCCTGGCTTATCCAAGACGGACTTCCGCCTTTGGAAGCGCCATCTTTCGTTTCCTTGCTCCCTACTGCGTACAGTTTACAATAAAATTCTGTCAAAGGTAGCGGGACATCTAAACCGACAGGTTCGCGCGCGCCTGGGCTGCGGCGAAGAGAGAAATTCTGTACATTACCTTCGGAAACTTCCTTCTTGTGGTGTTGGATGATGGGACTAAGCCCACAGCCATGAACAAGGCATGCTATTTGAAAGGTTGATTTGCTTGCTGTAGCGACATCTATGCTCGTTGTGACGAGAGTACTCAGATAAAGTGGTCTCGAGCTATGAGGCCGGTGCGTCTGGGAGCCCGAAGACAAGAAGCTGGCCAAAGCGCTCGGCGGAGACACGCCAACTCATCCATTACGGAAAGAAGGCAAAGACTTCTGCTTGATCGTACGAGGCCGGTCAACAGCCTCTCGGGCATCCGTACTTAGCGCAGTCATTAGCCAAGGGTCATCAGGGCTGGGACAGGAGTCACAGGACGTACGTATGCTTTGCGGCCTGACATTAATTCTTTGATCAGCATAATAGCAGGGCTCGCCTTGTATTTATCCGATAGCTCGCCGGGAAGTTTGTTGTTGTACGCATCTCATCTCGAACGTGCTCCTGGTGCTTAGCATTTCTTTTTGCGTAAAAGAAAGAGGTGCAGTGATGATGCACGGAGACGTATGAATCAGACTAGATAAGTTATAACCATACAACTTAAGATATTCTACACAGCTCAAGCAGCTCTACATAGCTATATTAAAATGTCTTGTGTAAACTTTGTAATTAAGCCTATAAATAGAAGAAAAGAAAAAAAAGTAGAGATTTTATTCTGAAAGGAAAATAATAGGTATTTTTACTTTACTATGTAATATAACTATAATGTATTCAATAAAATATAATACATTACACAATATAATAATTGTATCTACTATATTCGTCATGTATAACAATGGGAGCGAGCTTGGGAGACTCGACGTGTTGGACCGTGGGCGACGCGTGGGACATTGGCCGTGGACCCAATTTAGCAGCCGAATCAACCAATCCCGTTCATCTCGCTGTCATGCCACTGCCTAAAGTTCCTTGCCAGACTCCTCATGCTCGTGGCGAGCGAGTCTCCACCACCACGGTCCACTAGTCACCCTCTGTATGGTACCGTAGGGCGTACGGGCCACCGGAACCGAGTCCCTGAACCATTGTACTGAGCGCTTGAGAGTTGCATCCATGTCCAGTCACGTCCCGTCTGGTCTGAGTGCGCAAGCACAGCTGCACAAGTACCAAAGTGCTGCCACTAAACCGCCTTTGGGGTCCAGTCCTCTAATTAACCTCCACACTCCCCTCCATCCTGCTGCACCTTTCTCATTACTCATCGGAGGACCTTGCCAGGAAAAAAAAAAAAAGGCAGCCTTTTATCCAGCATCAAACACGGGAGCGTCTGCGTCGGCGATTTTGGACTCGGCAAGCTGGCGTCACTTATTTTCCTTTTTTCCCTTTTTTTTTTATAAAAAAAATTCCTTTGCGGGTGTCGAGCTTCGGTCCCTTCCCCCGTCGTCATATCTCCCCGAGCTTCGTCTCAACAATTTGCTACGACCCTCTCGAGCCCCTCCAGCTCGGTGCTCAGCCAGACTCGTGAGGACCTCCTTTTTATGTATCGACTGCATTTCTGCTGCCACGAACCGAATCAACCTTTTCAGCTACTCATTGCGACTTCTGCAGCTATTTCAGCTACAGCTCCTCATCCGTCCAAATCCAAGCTTTGTCCTCTGTCGCCGTTGTTCCTGTCGTTCCTGTCGTTTCTTCTCTCTTTTTTCCTTCGTTTCCTCCGTCTTCGCTTTTTGCTTGGGCATCGCCGCGGGACACGATAGCGACAATCGTCCCTTCCCCCCGTCATCTGCGCCCAGACCTATAGTTGCAGGATACAGTGATTTTCATTACATTCCTACTTGAGCAATTTTTCCATCTCGATTACAATGACCGATACTTCTGCAGCTCCTGCGTCAAGCCAGCTGCCCCCCCCGGCACAGGTCGGCAGTTCTGGCCAAAATGGTCAAGGAAACCCAAGTCATCTGCCACCACCTCCGTTGCACATTCCGCAGAACACGAACCCCATCCCGACCGCTATTACATCTCCCCTCTCTGGAGGAGATAATGGCGGTATGATGTCACCTGGCGGTTCAGGCAGCTTTCGCCGAGCAGCCCCTGAGCCTAACAAGCGGGCGCTGTATGTCGGAGGCTTGGAACAGCGTGTAACCGAGGACGTTCTTCGCCAAATCTTCGAGACTACGGGCCATGTTCAGAATGTCAAGATTATTCCCGACAAGAACGTATGCCACTTTGCACAAACACCTCCCAGACATCGTTACCCCGCCTGGATCTCGTACGAGAGCACCCAGATCTAACTGCCGTGGTTTCTTTCTAGGCCAAAGGATTCAACTACGGATTCGTTGAGTACGACGACCCTGGTGCTGCCGAGCGCGCCATGTCAACCCTGAATGGGCGCAGAGTCCATCAATCGGTACTGCCAAGCCCTCAATGCGTCTGAAGCTCTGCCTTTGTCCATCTTGATGCTAATACCCCGATGCAGGAAATCCGAGTCAACTGGGCGTATCAGTCCAACACGTCGAGCAAAGAGGACACGTCTAGCCACTTTCACATCTTTGTTGGCGATCTTTCCAACGAGGTCAATGATGATATTCTTCTCCAAGCCTTCTCCGCCTTTGGCACTGTTTCGGAGGCCCGTGTCATGTGGGATATGAAGACCGGCCGGACTCGAGGATACGGTTTTGTGGCATTTCGTGACAGAGGCGATGCTGAAAAGGCATTAAGTTCCATGGATGGCGAATGGTTGGGCTCGCGAGCTATTCGATGCAACTGGGCCAACCAGAAGGGCCAACCATCCATTGCACAGCAGCAGGTGATGCAGGCCATGGGCATGACCCCCACGACTCCCTTTGGTCACCATCAATTCCCGGCCCACGGCGTGGGGAGCTACGATGTGGTTTTGAACCAGACTTCCAACTGGCAGACCACTTGCTACGTCGGCAATTTGACACCCTACACCACTCCCAATGACGTGGTTCCCCTTTTCCAGAACTTCGGATTTGTCGTCGAGTCGAGGTTCCAGGCCGACCGAGGGTTCGCCTTCATCAAAATGGATACGCACGAGAATGCGGCAATGGCAATTTGCCAAATGAATGGATACAATGTCAACGGCCGACCACTCAAATGCAGTGTAAGTCGCACAATTTCCTCGACTCCCTGGGCGTGACAAGTAGACACATTAATGACAACGACGCAGTGGGGCAAGGACAAGACACCCAACGCTCAAGGCAATTTTGACCCGGCCCAGCAGCCATACAGTCCTCAGAGTGCCCAGACCCCGGGCTTCCCAGGAACGCCCCCCTATTATTCTCAGTATGGTGGTACGTAACCCCCCTTTTCTTGCCATGTTTGCGTGTATAATTGGCAACTAATGACGTATCGGATCAGGTCAATATGGTGGACAGCCGGGCAATTTTGCAGGACCCCAAGGTGGCTCGCCTGCAGGATATGGTGGCTCTCCCATGGGATACGGTGGCCCTCAGAATGCAGGCGGGTTTGGTCGAGGCCAACAGGGCCCCAATGGTCAATGGAACCAACCTGGACCTGGGCAAAACTTCAACAATGGATTTGGCGGTTATCAGTCATGAACAAACGGCAACAGTGTCGACATTAGGCCGCTTCGACGTGTTTGGATGCCATGATTCTGGAACAAGAGTGCTCTGTCCGGTGCGGAATGGACATTTCAAAGAAGCATGTTCGTTTTTTTGTTATTTTTGAGATCTCTCCGTACCTGTCTCATACCCTGATCTCCTCTCAAGCGATATGCTTCGTCATGTTTTTTTGCTTCCTCATATTCTCTATCTTCTATTTCTTCCACGATGATTACGTTCCTCTTTCTGCCACCTCTTTCTCCGTCTCTCTTTTTTGAGTAGGCGGGATTGGCAACTATTCAAGCTGTTTTTGAGTGTGATTTCCATTTCCCATGTTCTTTTTTATCTGCTGAAATTGTCGCAAAAAGTTACCCATTGTGCTAATGTGCACCTGACGACTAACGAATAAACGCCATGCCGCCCCTATCCTCCCCTTTTTTCTTGCTGATGGGGCCGATAATGATTTGCCGCTTTCGCGATGTGTCATTTTTGTTATTTCTTACGTGGAAAGCATGACAATGACGGTCCAATCTTGCGCGTTTCTGGTCAAAATTTTTGCGCCCTATTTATTAGCCTAAGTTTCTTACAGGAGCAGAGGAAACATCGCTCGGCGTTTTATGTTGCTCAACTGTTTTTTGTTGCATGTGCGAAAAGAGACGTGCGTGGCCAGCTAATTATCGATGCAGATTGATTGAAACTGTCAACTGTCATGACGTGAATAGCACGAGTTGGATTATACTTGTAAGTCAGTAGGCTAGAGGAGGCTGTAAAACACCAAATCGGGCGAGAGGAAGCACTTGCCAGCGGAGATGACAGGGGACAGTTGGTTGAAGGCATAGTGAACTATATATGAGATTGGAAGATGTGAAGTGCGAAGAGAGCGTGTATGTAGCATTGAAGTCAAAAATCAACGCAGATGTGTTTGCAGCCAGTGCGCAGGATAAGAGGTGAAGATTGAATGCACTTGACGATATTCCCATCTCAGTGCCCAGGTACTTACATAAGCACAAGAAGTGGTGGTACTCGGACGGACATGGTAGGGAATAAAATGTGCAGCACATATGCCAAAGTCGAGGCGTTTCTTGTGCGCCAGCCAGGGCGCAGTCGCGGGTTTGGGTCGCGTCGTACGTCGTAGAGCATGCCATGAATGGGGCGAGGCGAGAGCCGTGATCTCCAGGTGCGCAATGCTCCTCCGGTCTCTGGTTTGTCATTGGCATGTGGATGTCAGGCGTAGGTCATACGATTGAAGTCGAACACTCCGTACCGAAGTACCTTGGAGCCTGCAAGTGCGCCAGTATCAAGGCACAAGTAGGTGCAGTTTGAGGTTTGAGGTGGGCAGCATGAGCGTGGGCATGAACATGCGCATGAGCACGGCTTGTTTTGTGAGCGAGGGCCTCGTTGGTTGCGTTTGTTCATCTCACTTGCGCGCGTCATCGTGCTCTTTGTTTGCGGTCTTTGCGTGCGCCAACGCTGGTCCATCAAGTGTGATTTCAATGTCAGACTCGTCGCGACTCTTCAATGCTTGCTGTTTTCTGCCTTGGCTGGTGGAGCGAGCGTCCCGTCCCAGCAGCCGCAGGCCAAGGCCAAGCCCTGCCAAACCCTGCCAGACCCAAGGGTGAAAGCGGAGGAGTCTGTGACCAGGACCAGGACCAGCCCAGCGCCGTCAATTGATATGCAGCCCAGCAACTGGCACCTGGGAGTTCTCTGGGCGGCGGCTGCAGCCCATGCGGAAACTTGATGATTGATTGACGCATCTTGAGCACCTGCCTGCATGTCCGCCGGGGACCACTTGGGACGGACTGCCAACTTTGGGGCGGGGAGCAGCAGCAGCGCGGGAACCCTTGGGCCTTGGCTGAGCGCTGTCGAGTCAACCAGACGCGCCTGGGGCCGCTGGCACTTACTGACTTACTCACCTGAGTAAGTAAGTACCTAGGTACTTAAGGTACGACTACAGAGAACCCGGGCACATGTCGCGGCGAATGAAAAGTACATTGCACCCGAGAACCCAACCCAAGAACCTTGGTACTCCAAGTAAGTTCCTAAAGTACTTGAGTTCCCAGGACAGCTTAGGTACCTACTTGGTACAGACGTGTTTGCAGCAGCGACAAAATCATCCGGGCCGGCCCCAGCGACGGACCAGACCAGATTGGCAGACCAGACCGGACAGGTAAGCGGAACCAGACCAGACGCCGCCATTCACCATTCAATGAGAACTTTAGTTACTCGCCCAGCACCTGCTCACCCAGCCAAACTATTAGTCGACGCCGCTCCGTTCCACAATCATCACCATCTGGCTGTCCCTCCTGGAGCTCGGGGGCTTTGCCAGCTCAGCTCGCAGCGACGCCGCCCATTCTTCTCGCATTCCGCGCCATTCTGTCGCCTCTCTGCACCTTGGATCTGCATCGACGTCGGCCGCGTTGAACGGCGGCCCTGCGCGCACCTCACCGCCGTCTCTGCAGCCGCTGCAGCCGCTGCCGTCGTCTCCGTCGTCGTCGTCGTCGTCGTCTTTGTCGTGTCGCCGCCGCCGTCGTCATCATCATCAGCATCATCATCATCATCTCGCTGCGCTCTCGTCCCTGTCGGTTCCAAGTTCCCGTCGTCGTCCGTCGCCTCTCGCCCTCGCCCCTCGCCGTTCGCCATCGGCCGCCGTTCTGTGTCCTGCCTTTTCCTCTCTCACCATGGATCCGTCGTGGCAGCAGTATCCCGACTCGGCCGGTGCCTCGCGACGACATAACGGAGGAGGACAAATGCCCCGGGAATATGCAGGCCAGCCGCCCCCTCCTGCCGCCGCGTCCTACGGTCCTGATCATCATGGCTCTTATCACCGCGCCGCTCTTCCTCACGCCCACGCCCTCGCCTATGCTCATCCCTCAAACCTCCCGGGACCCAGTGCCAATCACGATCCCAATCCAGCCACCGCCTCTCCCATGTCCATCGGGCCCTCTGCTCGCGACGGCAACGGGGACATTGCCATGCACGACGCCCACGACGCGCATTCCGGCATCAAATATCCCATGAGACCGCACCACCAGCCTCTCCCCTCCAGCGGTCGCCCCTCCAACCGTCAGTCGACCCTGGAGCAACAACAAACTTCGTCTGCTGCACAGCGGTACTCGCCCATGGACACGCTGTCGCCCACTTCTCCCTACACACCCAAGTCGAGTCAGTTCGCGAACCCGCCTCCTCGAACACAGTCCCCCAGCGGCCAGCTAGACTATGCCCAGAGTCCCTACTACCCTGGACGTCAAACTGGTCAACACTTGCCGCCAATCACCCCTTTTGCCTCATCCCAAGATGGCTACCCTTCCCCCGCCGTCGCCAACCTGGATCCAGCCTTTTCCAATGGACCTAAATCGCCCGTACGACCGGATCCTGCTGCGCAAAAACCTGTCCCCGAGTTCCGCAAGGTGCGAGCCCTGACCGAACTTCGACCCAAGAACAACCGGCAACCGGCCTTTCGACGAGCAAACCCCGAGGGAGGCTTTATCAGTGTACGTACTCTGAGCCATGCCGCTCCGTTTCTCGAGCCCCAATCCATTTGCTCTCATTCATCATGTTGCATGAAACCGACACGTGGGACTGACTTTGCCAACCCATCTACTACTATGTAGCCTCTCCAAGCCCTCACATCTCATTTACCGGCGACGTACCGCATCTGCAATCCTGGATTTAAATATGAGACTTCACGAAATCCTCGCCGAGTCCTTACTAAACCAAGCAAGGGAGTCAAGAATGATGGCTATGACAACGAAGACAGTGATTATATCCTTTACGTGAATGATATTCTGGGATCCCCCCCCCCCCCCCCCTTGCGGAAGCACACACGGCACTTGATTGCCTGTAGCAACTCGCCGTCTGTCCCGCAGTTTCGACTCACATTTCATTATAGGAATCGTTACCTCATCCTGGACGTTCTTGGCCAAGGAACCTTTGGTCAAGTCGTCAAGTGTCAAAACTTGAAGACGCAAGAAGTTGTCGCCGTCAAGGTCATCAAGAATCGCACGGCCTACTTCAACCAGAGCATGATGGAAGTTTCAGTACTCGACCTGGTCAGTCTCTGTCTCGCTGATACTCGTGCCTATCTCGTCGATATTTTGGCTCCCGGGGACTCAGCTAACGTGATCCCTTGTATAGCTCAATACGAAACTCGACAAGAACGACGACCATCACCTGCTGCGACTGAAGGACACCTTTATCCATCGACAGCATCTTTGTCTAGTATTTGAATTGCTGAGTGTCAACCTTTACGAGCTCATCAAGCAGAACCAGTTCCGAGGACTCAGTACTACCCTCGTTCGAGTATTTGCGCAACAACTTCTCAACGGCCTTGCCTTGTTGAACAAAGCTCGCCTGATCCATTGCGATCTAAAGCCCGAAAACATTTTACTCAAGAACCTCGAAAGCCCCATTATCAAGATTATCGATTTCGGCTCCGCTTGTGACGAGCGGCAAACGGTGTACACCTATATTCAGTCCCGATTTTACCGCTCACCTGAAGTCCTTCTCGGCCTGCCATACTCTTCAGCCATTGACATGTGGTCCTTGGGCTGTATCGTTGTGGAGCTCTTCCTGGGTCTGCCGCTCTTCCCCGGATCGTCAGAATACAATCAAGTCTCACGGATTGTTGAGATGCTTGGAAACCCCCAGAATTGGATGATTGAGATGGGCAAGCAGGCAGGAGAGTTCTTTGAGAAGCGCCAGGACGAATTCGGCAGACGGACATATCATTTGAAGAGCATGGAACAGTACGCACGCGAGCGCAACACCAAGGAACAGCCCAGCAAGAAGTACTTCCAGCAAAGCACGCTGCCCGACATTATCAAATCGTATCCTATGCCGCGCAAAAACATGAAGCAGAGCGAAATCGATCGAGGTCTGCATAATCCCAATCAAGTTTGTTTTCTTTTTTCATGCCACTGACATTTTTCTTTGTAGAAATGAGCAACCGAATTGCCTTTATCGACTTTGTACGAGGACTGTTGACTATCAACCCCCTCGAGAGATGGTCTCCTCAGCAGGCCAAGTTGCATCCATTCATCACGCAACAGAAATTCACTGGTCCTTTTGTTCCTCCAATGAACCTCAAAGCCAGCTCCCTAAACCGATCTCCCGCACCAGGAACGCAACAGCAGCAACAAGCCGAGGCTTTAAGCAAGCAACGTGCTCAGGCGGCACAAGCTCAAGCCAATTCGGCTGCGCATTCGGCCGCACAGGGAGCATATGCCAACATGGCTGCCGCTGGCCAGTATCCTCAGCAGTCAGGGCATGTTCAGCCCCCCATGTACACAGCCAACCCTGTTTATTCGCCCACTGCCGGCAACCATGGCAATATGGCGCCACCCTACGGACCCCAGGCAGGTCAGTACGGCCCAATGGTCATGGGCCAGCCTCCCCAACCGATGCCATCTGCGCAGTACGGCAACGTCTCCCAGCCGAATATGTACCAGCAAGGAGGCATGAGGACCAACCGGCAGAGGGCCTCAACTATGGAGCAGCAGCAAAGTGGCATCCCGGCCGCTATCCAGCGAGTGGCAAGTCACCTTGACCCGAACCAGCCCATTCGTCTGCAACCTAGCCCGGCTTATTATCCTCCTCCCGGTGAAGGTGTCATCGGCATGGATCATACACCTGGTCGCGCTGGTCGACGTGGAAGCAGAGCCCAGCAAGGTGGCAGAGGAAATCGCGACTTCATTCGCAATCTCGAAGAACGCACCTTGGAAGAAGGGTTCATGGGAAATCAAAACCCGTGGCATTGAAGACGTATTTGTTGACCTCTTGGCAATCCAGAAACGCAACAGCAGGATTTAGTGGAGGCGTATGGCCGTTCCATTCTCACCGAGCCATTCGGCCTGATCCGAGCCACTGCGCGGAATGCACTTGCGCAGGACTACATTTGCTTATGGGACTTGCAGTGGCGTTTTTGTCAAGCCTTCACTTCCACGGTATCGACGAAGATGCCTTCAAAGTCGATGTGCAAACCCCGACAACAATGGGATACAGCAGGCGCAGCAACTCCCGTGGGGAGGATGCTTGGGACGAATGCTCTATTCATAATTTCGCAGGCCCCCAAGACCCCCCACTGCCGGGCATGACGGGCCAACATCCGAATTGGTGTCGCTCGACGTAAACTGGCTACAGCAGACGAGAAACACCCCCGGCGTCAAAATTGTACCTGACATACACTACTTATTTCGTGTCCTGGGCTTCGTCACCACTACCATCCTTTATCCTCCGGGGGCTTTGACTGCAGCCAGGCGAATCGTCTCGGCCCTTTTTTTTCCCGTCGTTTTCTGTTCAATTTTGGGGTTGTTCGATGCGGGCAAGAGTTTAGGCCGGCGTGGGTGTTGTCCACACGGCATGAGATTGAGATAGACGCAGAAGCACATGGACGGCCGCTCAGGATGGATGGGTGGACTTTTTTTTTTTTTTTTTTTTGTTTTGCACGCAGTAGCATTTGAGGGCGAAAAGGGGGAAAGGGGGGTTGAATCAGAGAAGGAAGAAACAAGGACTTCTTTGTAGATACAGCCTATTGTGCGTTTTCCCGCCTGTCATGTCGTGTCTCGTCTGATTCCGCGTCTTTGGTTTGTTTGTTTTCGTTTTGCTCCCTGCCAAATGTACAAGGATGAGATGAAGGGGTCTGACGGGTTGAAGAAAAGTGGCTGTTTGCATGAAATATTGACCCCCGGGGGAGAGGGGGAGGGGGAAGGGGAAGGGGAAGGGAGGGGGTGTCTGGCACCTGGATTGGGTTTTTGGCGTGCCCTGTACATTGTCCGATTATTTCGCTGGTGTTTCTCTTTTCCCCGCTGGCAAGTTATAGTATCTGCATGAACTGGGTGGGTGGCAATGGCTGGTTGGGCAAGGGGACGAGGACGGGGACGGGGCCGGGATTGTATTCTTTACATCATGGTGACGGGAATGACGTGGGCTTTCGAAAGGCGGAAGAGACGCAGCTTATACAAGGGAGGGCGAGGAAGAACCAGAACATCGAAGAAGATTTTGGACGAAGAATGCTTTTTTCTATTTTTGCTGGCCAACTTCTTGTTGGAAAGACTGTGAATGCGGCACGGCCCCGGAAACAAGTGAACAGGAAGCAGATGCATTGTACAGGCCGTGGCGGGGCCGTCGTTGACACCCGCGGCGGCAGCGGCAGCGGCAGATTTCCTGCGTGCGCCGAAGTGTCTCCAAACGAACAAACGCCGGTACGCCTTCCTGGTTGTGAACCGCCCACGCGCCTAGTGATTACAGGGGATGGAGAGATGGATCGATCTCGGCTGGAGGGGGAAGCCCACTACCGTCCTCTGCCTCGTTGGAAGGCCCTGCCTCTCTTGCTGCCACCCACCATCCTGTCGCTGTAGAGTCGGTTGCTGTGGTTGTTGCCGGCCGCCGGAGTGCTGCCGTTTGTGTCCATGAGGTCGGGGAAGCCCATGGACCCGTCTACCACCTGGTCTCGTGCCGAGGCCAAGGACGATCTGGGTCCGCTGGGGGCGTTGGCGGGTGCTTCGTTGGTCTGGTCTGCGGCGGAGGCCGGGTAGCCGCCGACTTTGGGGTAGATTTTGATGACTCTCCCGTCGGCCTGCGGCAGGGCACTGGTCAGCTTGGACGGCCGGCAGAGGACGGAGGTGATGAGCGGAGGCCGAGGGCGAGCACGTACCGTTTTGTTGTTGAACGTCTCAATGACCTTCTCGCCGCCTTCTCGGGAGACAAACACCATCTCGGCAATGAGGAACGGCTTGGTCTTGATAATCTTGCAGCTGGCCATCTCGCCGCCCACGGGCGTCATGGCACTCTCGATGTCTGCCGCGGTTGTGCCGGGGGCGAAGTTCTGGCCCAGGAGAGCGTAGGGACCGGCGAGCCCGCGGATGGTGAGGCCCCTGGCGCTGGTCGTGGCCCGGGCCGAGGGGGCGACGACGTTGACCTGGTCCGTGTCCATCTTGTCGACCGCAGCGGCGAGCTTGGCCTTGCGATTGGCAGCTCTCTTGGTCGCGGTGCTGCCGTTCCTTGCGCCGGGGACGGTGATACGGGAGCTCAGCGAGCCCAGGGAGGCGCCTCTGGCTGGTGCGCCGGCGACGGAGTCGTGGAGGTCGTGTGTCCAGTCGCCATTGACGTTGCCCGAGGGCAAACTGGCCCTGCGGGTATTGGAGGCAGTAGGGGCGGGGACGCGTTGCTACACATGATGAGAGGAAGGCCTCATTAGCAAGACGCGGCTTCGAATTTGAGCTGTCAGCTCCCGGTGCAGAGACGACGGCTTGGCTACCTTTTTCACCCCGACGCGGCTCGCCAGAGAACCGCCAGGCGTGGGCCTCAGTTTTGACGGCGCACTTTGGCGTCGATTGCGACTGAAGATTCTGTCGGCAAGAGCTGAATTCTTCTTGCGTTCCCTCGCTGCGCGGCTCGCGGGTTAGCAAGAGAGGCGGTCAAAAGGTGACGGCGGGTTGCGGGTTGGAATACCATCCGATATGAGCTTTTGAAAGTCTGACGCAGTAGACGCCATTGTGACGGATGCCAATGCGCAGTACGGCCCGCAGAACGGCCAAGTTTGACACCGAGAGAGGGAAAGCTGAAATACGGAGGCAGCGGTAAGAGATGCTGGGCGAGACTGGGGAGCAACGAGACGAGGCCGAGTTGACGGACGACGGGCGAAGTTTTGCACGGTTTGCGCCGATGGTGGTGACATCTGCGGTTGGAGTCCGTCTGGACCGCCCTCTGGAGGCAAGAGAGACGCGACAGCCAATCAATGCGGGTGCAAGTACTCCGTACATAAGTCGCATAACTTGGCTGCCGGCATAAAGTTTTTCTTTCATTGGTGCAAGAGACGGAAAAGCACCGCCCATCCGTGCACTAACCAGCGCCACACCGGTTCGTTTGCCAACTAACTACATCTTGGACCCTGACTTTTCGACCTCGCACTCGAAGCCATCTCACATCGCTCGTGCACGGACAATGGCAGGCAGCTTCCTTTCCTGCCGGGTGTGTCTGCTCAGGACAATCCAACTCGCTGCTGGACGAGGTATTGCGGAGGCGCCAACCCTCAGAGCAGCAGCTGCGCATCGAAGCCAGCGAAGCAGCAGCAGCAGCAGCAGCAGCAGAAGCAGAAGCTATACGGCGGCGGCGCTGCCTGCAGTCTCGGCTCCTGTCGACGCACCGAGAACCCTACAAGCTCCTCACGGAGAAGAGTCAGAAGCAGTGGCGGAAAAGAAGCAGCACGAGAAGCTGCAGCGCGCCGTCAACAAACACCTGAGCTATATGCAGGACCCATGGAAGATCGCACGCCACGTCGACCAGACGCTCGCAAAGGATCGATTCGACGAAGCGCTGCTCCTGACGCAAAGGGCGAGCAAGGATCGCCAGGTCGTCGTCGCCTGGAACCACCTCATTGACTATCAGCTCGAGAAGCAGCATCTGAAGAAAGCCATCACGCTCTTCAACGAGGTAGGTACCCTGGCCAGCTCACCACCCACCGCCCCCCATACACACCTCTGTTCTGATATTCTGACAGACGTCGTAAAACAGATGAAGAAGCGTGGCCAGTTACCCAATGTCCAGACTTTCACCGTCATCTTTCGAGGCTGCGCCAGGTCACAGCACCCCAAAGCCGCCGTCGCCGAAGCCGTCAAGCACTATAATGTCCTCATGGCCGACAAGCGTATCCAGCCAAACTCGATACATCTCAACGCCGTGCTCAACGTGTGCGCCAGGGCAGGAGACCTCGATTCCATGTTTCTGATCGCCGACACCGTCAACGACTCCACACGAGCACCAACTGCATACACATACACCACCCTCTTGAACGCCCTGCGCCACAGCGTCTTGAAGGATACCAAGGACCTGCCCGACGAGCAACGAACAACCAACTTGCAAAGAGTCGTGGACCGAGCAAACGGCCTCTGGATCGAAGTCATGGACAAGTGGAAGCAAGGTCGACTCGTCATCGACGAAGAGCTCGTCTGCTCCATGGGCCGCGTCTTGTTGCTCTCACCAAAACGCGAGGACAAGCGCCTCGTCCTGGAACTCTTGCAGCAGACCATGAACGTTCCGAATCTCGCCAACGCCCCCGGCTCAGACCCCTTCCAAGACGCCGACATGCAAAACGTCTCCGTCACCAACACCCCCAGAGCCGTCGCTGCGTCCAAGGCCGTCTACGCCGTCCCAAGCCGCAACACCCTCGCCCTGCTCCTGACCACCCTCGCATCCTCAAAGCTCACTACAGTCGGCATCAAGTACTGGAACCTCATGGTCCGCCACTACGGCATCGTCCCCGACAACGACAACTGGCTCCGCATGTTTGGCATGCTCAAGGTAGCCAAGGCCAGCGCCCACGCGGCATCGATTCTCGAAATCCTCCCCGCCGAATTCGTCCACACCAAGCCCTACCGCATCGCAATGGAGACCTGCGTCCGCGACAACATCAACCCCAACGCCGTTGGCAACTCCACCGCCATCCTCAATTCCATGATGTCCCGCCTCGACGTCCCGGACATCCACACCCTCCGTCTCTACCTGCGAGTCGCCCTCGTCAGTCACCATCATCTCCGCACCCGCGCCCGGAGCGGCGACCGACAAGGCGCCAAGCGCGACTACGGCGTCCAAATCGCCTCGGCTCTCGCCAATCTCTGGGAGCCCTACAAGAAGGTCCACTACCGCTATTTCAAAGCGACTCCCCCGCCAGCCGACAAAAAGGACGACGGGGTCCTGTACAACAACAAGCGAGAGGTCATTGCTCTTGCGCGGCTCATGTTTTCCGCCTTCAACAAGGTCCTCAACGAAAGCATGCTCCCAGAAGCGGACTTGCGCGAGCTGCGTCCTGTTGGAGCCAAGATCAACCGGGAAATTCAAGCCTTCTACTCGAATCGTGAGCAGGCAGAACCGAAATTACGACCGTCATCAAGTAGCGAGCCTGACGTCGAGCCTGACGTCGAGAATGAAGTCCCGGTCGCCGTCGAGGATGCTGCTCATCGGCAGGGCGGAGCCTTTGTATGGGACACGACAAAACCCGCAGATCCCGCGTCCTTTCGAAAGCAACGTACTTGACGTCTGGCATTTTGGGCCCATCTCTCAAAGGACACACATCTTGGCCAGAGTATTGTGGTGTCGTCAGGTTCAGCCAAGCTTTCATGCTCCCGATTGGGCGGCGTCCTGTACGTCCATAGTCACATCCGTCGTTGCCAAAATGTGGTTGGACATGACCGTGCTTCAGGTTGATTTGAAAGCTACATGTACTAAAATACTACTTTTCATCATTATTGGTCTTCCAAAATTGTTGCCCGCCGCAAGGCACGATTGGCGTATCTTTAAAACCTGCTGTTCCCATGCTGCGCCACAGATACCATCGAGTATCTTTTTTTGATAGGGATGTTGCTGTTTTACCATTTTTCTCCCCCCACTCCATTTTATCATTTCCTTCTTTTCTTCTAGGCCGCCACATCCTCGGAGCTGAGGGAGTCACGGTCACGCACCCCTGTTTTGGGAACAACCAGCTGAAAGCAGTCAACTGCTTCTTCGGAATTAGACATTAGACCCAAGTCCGGTTGTGAATCGTTTGAAAACCGATTTCGATATGTCTCAAACTGTTTCCCTCGTGACACTTTTCGCAATGCTGGATGTGGATTGGGTGTCTCCAAAGGCGACTTCTCGGGAAACTTGCCCGGCAGCGACCCCATTCGTCGAAACTTGCTGACTAGCTCAGAGACCGAAGGAATGTTGTCATCATGAGACATAGATATCTGACTGCTCCCGGAAGTCTGACGGTGATTCAACATCATTTCAAAATAGTTTTCTGAGTTGTCAGAAGTACTCTTCGAACGGAGACGTCTTACTTCCCTGCTGGAGATCTCCGATACTAGACTCTCGTGATCAAAACTTCCAAAATTGGACCCAGAGGGGCTGCGTAGTGGTTGATCACTGTTGGAACGGTTTCTACCACGTGCTTGTTTAGCAGGCGTAGAGGTTGCATCGCCCGTGGTTGCTGCATTTGTCGAACGCACAGAGGGTACCAGATCGTCTTTCGGGGTGACGGTGCCTGGATCGTGTTGCTTAGCATCCGTATCTGTCTTAGGTTCGATATTGTTGTTTGCGGCATGTTCGCAAACGACGGTCCCTATCGAGCTCTTAGATGATGCCGACTCTACTGCATCTTTCGTGAGGCAGTCTCCCGAGTCACCAGAGACGGTTGGTTCAGTCGTCTGTTGCGGCGTCATGAATTTCCCAAGATCGAGACTTGGGCCTAGGACTTCATCGAGTAAAAGGGTGGGCAAACGGCAACCTCTCTCATCGCCTCTTTCAAGAGCTTTTCGGTCTGTTGGAAAAGAAGACTCTGCTGACTCTCTTGGTGAGAGTTGCTGTAGGTCTCCTGCTGTAGATTGTGCAGTCTTGACGGGAGCATCAACAAAGGTGGGCAGCTGGTACCGAGGTCGGAAAGAGCTTCTTGCATAGAATGACAAAGAAGTAAGGTTCGTCAACCGTTTGGCTCCCGTATCTGTCATATTCTCCATCAAGCGTGAGTTAGATGGTGTTTCGTACTTGATGTTGATGTCAGCCACTGCCTTTTCCAGACAGGCACGAAATGTAGGGGGCTCTGCTGACGAGTCATGCGACGAATAATCAGACAAGACGTCCAGACGAGGAGGAGGCGAAAATTGTCTTGGCTCCAATCTGTATGGGATGGGATCCTGAGCAATCGGGGAGGCGGGTTCTAAGGCTTCTATCACTTCTGCTTCACGGCAGTCTGATTCATTTTTGTCTAGCTTATCGCGAGAATATCTGGCCTTGACGGTCTTGAAGACATTGCTGAGGCTTCTCCGGTGATTAACGTTGACAGGATGACCTGTAGGACACCGTCAGTATTGACAACAAGAGGACGGCGTAAGTGTGCATCAGAGGTAGGTGGTATGTGCGTACGAGGGTTCTCAAGGAGTCCAGCATCATTCCGACTGTTTGAGCCACCGTGACTTGAATTCGACACAAGACTTTCCTTACGCGGTTGTGCTTTGGGGCGAAAAGTCGAAAACCACCGGCGGGTTGCAGCTTTTGAAGGTTTAGCCTGGCCTTCAGGGTCCTCGCCTGACAGCTGTTGAGATCGAATGTTCCACAGCTTCTAGCTGACAACTCGATTCCCGTTGGAGGCCTTGTCCTGGGAGGCCTCTGCTTTTGAACGCTGTTTGGAGAACAACATGTTGGAATACTAGTCTGCGAAAGCTGAAGCCAATATTTATGAACCGGTGCGGCAAGGGATCAGAGAGCGGGTCAATCCAACTCAAGTAGAACGTGGCTGTTGCAAGATGAGTGATAAAGCCAGGTGGTTAGGATGAAGACGGGTGCCTACGGAGATGGAGATACAGTAGAGCTTGCAAATACATTAGAGATGTAAATGCACAGCAACGAGACGTGGATGCTACAGAAACCAAACAACAGCCCCAAGACAGTCGCCGAGGTAAGTAGTTATAGCCTTACGAGACCAGCCTTTTCGGGGGGGACGAAAGGAAGGAGATGATGTCAACATGTTTCCGCAGCAAACAGGGTGATAAGGTAACGCGAGGCAAGAGACAACGGCAGCAATCTGCAAGAACTCTCAGAGGCATTAGAACATTACTTGTTCAAAGAACGTGATAGGTTGGTGCTTCTCTCATGAAGGCATCCATGATCCGACAATGGAAGAATATGATAGCAATGGGGTGCGGACACAGTAAAAGGGCCACACGCGCAAAGCAATGATTGATTCCCATCTAAAGAAGCAGATGAGTAATGTGCGAGGGTGGTGGATGGTGAGGCGATTCCCATCACGCCTTCCCGCTCCCCGCCCGCCTTACACTTGCCTTTCTTTGGCTGGGCAGGCAAACAGAAGGCAGGTCGGCTAGTTGCATACCTCATCCAATCTTCATAAATGCACTTAGCCGCGTGCCTGACCCATCCCTGCCACTTGAACAAGAACAGGGGCTACATGCTCGTTAGGGAGTACATAACTAGGCACGGCTGTTAGCTAGTCAGACGGAGTACTTTCAATTGAGGCGCGTCTCGCGGTCGCGACACGGTCCAGGACGCGACTCTCAACTGGCAGGATATCCGCAATCAAGTACCTCTGAATGGCAGCCTTCGACCGTGTGCCTACCAACAGCCAACCCATGCTTCACTGGACGCTTTTCAGCATCCCGACTATTATCTCCTTTCTGTCATCGTTCGATCATCTTGCCGCCACATTTGATATTTTCAGATGTGCAACGCTCGGCTCCCTTTTTGAATGATTGTTGTCATCAATTCACGGCCAGCTCGCCATGCCCAAGGCTAATTACCGGGCCAAGCTCGCTGAGCTTCAAGCTCTTCGCCAGTCAGGCAAGAAGGCTTTTGACGGCTATCGCGTCCAAGACGCAGCAGACCTCTATGACGAAGTTGACGAGGACGGCTACAAGAAGATTGTTCGAGAACGCCTCGACGAGGATGACTTCGTCGTCGACGACAATGGAGAAGGCTACGCTGACGACGGTCGTGAGGATTGGGATCGCGTCCGCCGCTACGATTCAGACAGCGACGTTGAGGACTTGCCAGTTCGTGGCAGACCCAACAAAGCAGGTTCGTTTTCTTCTTGCGTCGTATTGCGTTTTTGCTTGTCTGTACACTCCGCTGACTCGCTGCCACTTACTCTAAAGCCAAAAAGAACAAGGACGACAGCCAGGCTAAGCGAGATGCGAATGACCGCAACATTAGTGAATACTTCACCAAAGGGGCCGGAAAGGCCCAGCCCAAACCTAAAGTGAGCCTGCTGCATATTTCAACAGTGTTTGAGTACAAGTAATAGGCTGGCTAACCCGATTGCCAGGTCGCCAAGACCAAGGACGACGACAATTTTCTAGCTGACCTTATCAAAGAGGTAGATAGCAATATTCCTGCCCCTGCTCCTCGGTCAACCAAGATTGAAAGGTCCGGTGGTCGCCGTAAATCGAGGGCCCTGTCACCGGTTGTTGAACCTGTTCAAAAAAGACGAAAGCGAAATGACACTCGTCCACTGTCACCACCTGCCGCCAGTTTCGATTCGGACGACGGATTTATCCCCAATGCAGCAGACGACGGCGTTTTGGGGACTCAAGATGACCCCATGAGCGATCCGGCCCCGTCGTCTCCTGCAGCCAAGAAAGCAGAAAGAAGAAACCAGACCAAGCCCGAGCCCCAAGACGACGAAGACGAAGATATGATGGAGGTGGCCCATGCTGGAGCTGTCCATTCTGCAAGCGTAAACATCGCTGGATCTCGACAAGTCAAGAAACTGTTGAAACAAGACCCATATCCCTCCCCCGCCAGTTCATCACCATTGAAGTCGGTTTCGGGCGACCCGGTTGATTCTAGCTCCTGGAACAACTTGACCAACAAGCTCAACGTAGTCAACACCTCTGTGGAAACTCGGAGCATCGGGAAAATTGATCACAGAGATGCCATTGAAGCCGACGGTAGCCTGAACTTCTTCTGGACAGACTACACTGAAATTAATGGCAGCCTTTGCCTTTTCGGCAAGGTCCTGAACAAAAAGACCAAAGCTTACGTCAGCTGCTTCGTCAAAATCGACAACATCTTGAGGAAATTGTACTTCTTACCTCGGCAGCAACGTGTTCGAAATGGCGAGGAGACTGAAGAGACTGTGGAAATGACGCATGTTTATGAAGAAGTTGACGAGATCATGACAAAGCTGAAGGTGAACATGTATAAGATCAAAGCATGCACCCGTAAATATGCCTTTGAACTCACTGATGTTCCAAAAGAGGCTCAGTACATGAAGCTATTTTACCCCTATACCAGTAAGTAGTGGCTCGAACTGTGGACAGAACTCCGGTTACAGGAAAAGAGTTGGACACTAACAGAGCATTTCCAGAACCACAAATTGATGGTTCCCCAGGCGAGACGTACTCGCGTGTGTTTGGTGCCAACACTGCCCTATTCGAGCAATTTGTTCTTTGGAAGAACGTCATGGGGCCTTGTTGGCTAAAAATCCAGGATGCTGATTTCGGTGCCATCAAAAATGCCTCACACTGCAAACTGGAAGTACTGGCTGAGCACCCCAACATGGTGTCCACCATGAGCGACTCCGACAATCTCGACGTGCCGCCATTGACACTCATGAGCGTTTCTGTCAGAACCGCCTTCAATCCAAGAGAGAACAAGCAAGAGATTCTTGCCATTAGCGCAAGAATATACGACAAAGTCTCACTCAGTGACACAACGCCAGCAGAAAAACTTCCGTGCAGAACATTTACGGTTATTCGCCCCCACGGACCAAGCTTTCCTCTTGGCTTCGACCAGCTCGTCCAAAAGCGAACCAGGGGCCTCCTCGTCTTGAAGAGGCAGGAAGTCGACATCTTGAGCTTTTTCTTGGCACAAGTCGACGTGGCTGATCCGGATGTCATTCTGGGGCATCAGTTTGAGGGAGTGGACTACAGCGTGCTTCTGAGCCGTCTTCACGAGAAGAAAGTTCACCAGTGGTCCAGACTTGGCCGCCTCCGACGCAGTGAATGGCCCGCATCTATGGGTAAAGTGGGCGGCAATGTCTTTGCCGAACGCCAAGTTATTGCTGGTCGACTGCTGTGCGATCTTGCCAATGACGCCGGAAAGTCAGCCATGTACAAGTGCCAAAACTGGAGTCTAACTGAAATGTGCAGCCTGTACCTCTCTGGAGACAATCGCCGGAGAGACGTCGATAATGAGGCAGCACTAAGCAGCTGGGCCAAGGAGAAACAAGGTCTCATGGATTACATCACACACATGGAAGCTGATACGCACTTTATTGCTGCGTTGGCGTTGAGCGTCCAGCTACTTCCCTTGACAAAAGTCTTGACCAACCTTGCTGGTAACTCCTGGGCTCGTACGTTGACCGGTACGCGAGCTGAGCGGAATGAGTACATTTTGCTCCACGAGTTCTACCGCAATAAATACATTTGCCCAGACAAGCAGTCATTCCGCGGCCGCCAAAAGCGAGACGACGAGAACCCAGAAGAGGCTGGCGGAGACGGGAAGAAAAAGGACAAGTACAAGGGTGGTTTGGTCTTTGAGCCTGAAAAGGGCTTGTATGACAAGTTTGTTCTTGTGATGGACTTCAATTCTCTTTATCCCTCAATCATTCAAGAGTTCAACATATGCTTCACAACCGTTGATCGAACAGTTTCGGTAAGGGCATGAGACATGTCAAGAACTTGTTTGCTGAACATGACGACTAACAAAGACAAAACAGGCCGATGATGAGGATGCTGTTCCGGAAGTACCCGCAGATCAAGATCAAGGAATACTACCGAGGCTTATTGCAACTCTTGTTGGGCGCCGTCGCCAAGTCAAGGCGCTAATGAAAGATAAAAATGCGACCCCTCAACAGCTCGCCACCTGGGATATCAAGCAGCTTGCCCTGAAGCTCACGGCCAACTCTATGTACGGATGCTTGGGCTATACCAAGTCCCGATTCTACGCCCGGCCATTGGCTGTTCTGACGACGTACAAAGGCCGTGAGATCCTCCGAAGCACAAAAGAACTGGCTGAGAGCAAGTCGCTGCAGGTCATTTACGGCGACACTGACTCCGTCATGATCAACGCGAACGTGGATAGTGTTGCTGACGCTTTTAAAGTCGGCAACGAGTTCAAGAAAGCCGTCAATGACCAGTACAGGTTGCTTGAAATCGACATTGACAACGTTTTTAGACGCATCTTGCTTCAGGCAAAGAAGAAGTATGCTGCTGTCAATCTCATTGAGAAGGATGGTAAATTTGTCGAAAAAATGGAGGTCAAGGGTCTGGATATGAGACGCCGAGAATACTGCGCTCTATCCAAGGAGATTTCGAAACGTCTCCTCGACGAAATACTTTCGGGCGATGAAGCCGAGGTTACCATCACGCGCATTCATGAATATCTTCGCGATATAGCCGGCCAGATGAGGGAGCAACGCATCCCTGTAGCCAAGTACATCATTTACACACAACTCGGCAAAGACCCCAAGGAATACCCCAACGCGGACTCCATGCCACAAGTACAAGTTGCTCTTCGAGATCTTGCAAAGGGCAAACCGATCCGCAAGGGCGACGTCGTCTCCTACATCATTACAGGCGATGGGACGAGCTCCGAACCCGCTCCCAAACGTGCTTATGCACCAACAGACCTCAAGGCAGATTCGACGCTCGTCCCCGATGTCGAGTGGTATCTGGGAAAGCAAATTTTCCCCCCCGTGGAGCGACTCTGCGCCAATATTGTAGGTACTTCTACATCACAGCTGGCGGAGCAACTTGGTCTGGACATTCGTCGCTATAGTTCAAACCAAACTCGACAAAACAGCTCCAGCGATGATGTGGAAATTCATCCTCTGGAGTCACAAATTCCCGACGAGGTCCGATTTGGCGACTGCGCGAGGCTGTCCCTCCGATGTCGCAAGTGCAAGGCCAGCTCCGCGTTTGAAGGCCTCGCCGCCTGTCCTGGTAGAGTATCAGCATCCGGCGTGCTCTGCGGTGGCTGTGGAGCGGTGATGCCAACCTTGTCTGTCGTTGCACAAGTCGAACATGCCATTCGCGGTCAAACATCTCGCTACTACGAGGGTTGGCTTGTCTGCGACGACTCCCAATGCGGCAACCGCACACGGCAAATGAGCGTCTATGGTACTCGTTGTCTCGGGCCCAAAGGCCTTGCGCGCGATTGCCTGGGACGTATGCGCTACGAGTACACGGAAAGGGCTATTTACAACCAGCTCGTGTATTTTTCCAGCCTCTGGGACGTGGACAAGGCCCGCAGCAAGGCGGTCGACACAAACGATTCTACTCTATCCCAAGAGGACAAGGACACAATCTTGGCTCTCGCAGAGCATAACCGCGTCAGGTTTGGCACGGTCAAGGGCGTCGTTGACCGGTATCTCGACAAATGTGGCCGACAATGGGTGGCCATGGACACGCTCTTCGCCAAGCTTGGGTTCAACAAGCTGCCTGCTGCAGCATAGGGGGCTCGCAACAACAGCGTAACGTGCGACGGATAGCTATGGGCGCGGAAGGACGTGGTTTGCATTTGGATACATCCATTAGGCATCAAGGCGTTGAGCGGATGACTTGTTTCGTGGTCTCGACGGCGCGGTTTTCATACATTGTTCTAACAAACAAACCTGGTATATGTGCAACAAACAGGCTGCGAAATGACGCGCCACTTTTTTCTATTTTTGTAGGCGTTCTGCGTCCATCCAGATGGAGTGAGTTGTAACGTTAGCAAGTAACAGGAGAGCATGGGCATCCAGGGCTGTTCATTGCATCACGTAGCTCGATTTTGAAACGAATACACTGATTCAAGTGTACTTTTCGAGGTTCAACTTCTCGTATCGCTTGAAATGGCCCTTCCTTACCCGCCCAAGTAGACGGTCGTCCTGCTTGGTAGCAATGCGTTCGGAATCCTGGCGAAAAGAGCGGCAAGACGGATGCACACACACACGCACAAACACTGAGCACAACTAACATCAAGAAGAATGGATTTTCCGTCAACTGATACAAAATCAGTCCCAAGTGCTCCGTAAATTAGATGTACAGTAGTAAAAAAAATAAAAAAAATAAAGATTTAAAAAAAAAAGCCGAAACCAGTGATGCCCAACAAAAACAGCGTCCGTTCATTGCTTCTCCGACCGTCAGCAAGCTAGTTACAATGTAGCTTTGAGCAAAGCAACAGGAAGACGCCGGTGGCGAAGGAAGGAATTCTTCATGCTTTCATGGCCTTTGCTCAGTAGAAGCGGGCGCAAGCCAAGTCAAAGTCGACCAGCCTCCTCGCCTCGGACAACACGGCGTGGCCCCCTTGCAAACCTCGAGGTTTTGGGCCCCCCCCGTCTTGCAAGCGAAACCTTCAAAGTCCGCACATCATGTCATGAAATAGACAAAATGAACAAAATCCCAACCACCTTTTGTGCATTCACCTGCTCCGACCTGGTCGTCGCCTTCATTGCTCCATGCTTTCCTATCAACGGCCTCGATTCTGCAATCATCCAATCGAGTGTGAGCTGGCTAGACAGCATCGACAAGGGGCCTTCACGTGCCATGTGTGGTGTTTCTTGTCCCTCGACAAGAATTAGAAAATGTCATGGTGAAACGAAGCCGAGGGACAAGCAAAGAAAGGGGAAAAGGTTGAAAGGAAACAACGATCCGGCATCGTCATGAGGAAAATGCGAGTAGCGCTCTTGTTTTTGACGCAATACTGTTTCTTGTCTCTTCTGTTACTGCCGCCCACGACCCCCTCCCCCCCTTTTGCGTCTGGCGAGAGCCTTGCCCGGTCTGATGTCAAATAATCTATGTATGGATATGGATGGGTGGGTGGGGAGGTATCGTTTGGGTTCAAAAAATGCAGTAGGCAACTTTTGATTCTTCTCAAACATGTAGGAACGCACAATGGAAATGATATGTAGAGGCCGTGTAGATGCAAGAAACAGAACCCGCAAAGTCTATCACCTGAAATGCAAGACACCGAGAAAAAAGAATTATAAACACTGATTAAAGTTTTTCTTCTTCTTACTCGCCCTCATTCTTGCCGCTGTCGGGCACGGCCTTGGCCAGAAGAGGGGAGGGTCCTGCAGATGGAGGCGAGGCGGGGTGTTCGGCATCTACCATGTTTGCGAGCAGGCTATTGTCAGGGTCAGCACGTTGATCCATCCATCTGGCAGTCCGAGGAACGAGGCAACACCGTCTTCTTACCTGAATGCGTTCGTGTTGGAGGTGCTGTCACGGGTGGGGGGAGTGCCAGTTCGCGACGAGGCGCCAGAGTCCTCGCCAGGGCGGCCAAGAGAGCCTCCCGGTCCGAGACGTCGGCCACTGTTGCTGCGCGAGGTGAGCATAGAAGACGGGCCAAAGGTGAGGTTCTGGCTCGAGGTTCTGCCGGCGGAGCCCTTGAGGCGTCGTAGGTCGTCCATGCCGACCTGGTTGCTCGTCTGCTGCACGGAGCCGCCGGAGAAGTTGCGAGCATCGCCGCGGCCGACGGCAGGGCGGCCGGGACCGCCGCGAGTGTTGCTTCGGGCAGACTCTTGAGCCTTGGCAGCCTGAGCCTCGGCTTCGGCGCGCACTTCCTCCAGAGTCTTGGGGCCCTTGTTGGCCTCCTTGGAGACCCAGTTGGCCTTGCGCAGATCGATGATGTCCATGAGCATAAACTTCAATCTGCTCTGGAGCTCGGGAAGGTCAATCATGGTCTGGATGCGTTGGAAGTACACGTCCATCAAGGGACGACCCTTTTCCGTGGCATCCAAGTTGGCACCAATCGTGCACAGCAGCTTGCTGAGGGACTCGGTTTCCGCCTCGTCGGGGACCCCCTTGTAGTCAACGAGCTTGTGGACACATTCGTGCATGATGCGCTCAGTCAGCATGCCGAGCTTGTACAGCTCACCGATGAACTGGACAAGACCCAGACCACGTCGCTTGGCGGCCGCAGCCTCGTAGTATTCGTCAGACAGCATCGTCGTGTCGCCAAGCGTCTTCTTGGGGGCATCCTCGCCGCCCTCTTCCTCCTTAGGTTGAGGCAAGTTGGAGGCCCAGCCACGCTCAAACTCCTCCTGGCATCGGTTCAAGAGGTACTTCCTGAACAAGTTGCCACCACTGACGATGTTGCCGTTTTTGTCCTTGATGCGCTCGTCGCGAACGTCTGCGCTCATGTTCTCGAGCATGCGCTTGCAGAATTTGGCGTACATGGAGGCCCAGTGCGCTTCGTCAGTTGCCTTCTCAAAAGTGAGCTGAATCACCTGACGCAGCGTACGGCCGTCAGCCTCGTCCTTGGATTGCCCGGCAATAGCCAGAATCTGGTCGGCTATCTTGTCAAACTTCTCGGGGGTCATCTTGTTGAGAGCCGCCTTCACCTTTCTCTGCACCATTTCAGGGTCAAGGTAGCCGCTGGAACTGGCAGCCGGAGCGGCGGCCTTGATGCCGACACTGCTAGGCTTCCAACCGTTGGCAGTGATGGCAATGGGTTTGATCTCCTGACCAGCGGTTAGGGGCATGGTCTTAGCAGCCTGGGCCTCCTTGGTGTTGAAATCGCGTCGGCTGCCGCGGGTAGAGCGGCTGGACTGGCGGCCGCCGGGCGAGTTGGGACCGGCACCTCTGGACTGCGACGAGGTCCGAGACATGGCGGTGCCCGGGAATCCGCCTCCGGGGCCACGGAACGACCCTATTGAGCCAACAGGGGGTCGGGGCATAGCGCCACTGGACATCGCCATGCGCTGCTCAGAGGTGGTGCCCGAGGGCAGTGTGCGGCCCGGGGGGGCGTTGAACGTGCCCATGGGGAAGGCATTGCTGCTGCGGTTAGAAGGCTGCCTAGGCGTCTGGGCGCGAGCAGAACGGTCACCGTCTCCGATCAGGGACTTGACCTGCTGGTGAAACTCGACAGAGGGCTGCTCGGTAAACACCTTCTGGAACTGCAGCAGGAAAGCAGCGTCATACTTGAAGCTCTTGCCCTTCTTGGCGGCGGCGGCGTTCAGAGCAGGGTTCGGGGAGTTGATGCCGGAGGGGTAAATATCTTGGTCCATGACCTGCAGGAACCGAGACGACTTGAGAGATTGGAGCGCCGCACTGGGCTGAGGCGGATCGACAGGTTTGGTGTTGAGAGGCGCGAGATTGAGGGCGGCAGGCTTGGCCGAGCGCTTCTGACCCGCGGCGTCGCCGCCAGCCTTCTCCTCGGCAGTCTTGACGCCAGGCGGCTTGTCGGCGACGGAGCTGACATTGGCGGCGTCGTCACCGTCCTTGGAAGTCCGAGTGGCAGCAAGCATCTCCGCAACAGACATGGTCTTTCCAGAGGCTTCGGCTTCCTTTCGTCGTCGCTCCCTTTCGTCCTCCAGGCGCTCCATCTCGCGCTCCCGCTCCCGAAGACGGCGGTCTTCTTCAGCGGCCTTCGCCTTGCGGCTTTCTTCGTCCTTCTTCTTCTGTTCAGCCTTTTTGGCTTCGGCGCGCTTGCGGTACTCTTCCTCTTCCTTTTCGCGCTTGGCATCGGCCTCTTCCATTTCCCGGATCATCCGCTCAAATTCTTCATCCTCTGCGGGATCCCCGCTGCCGGGGACGGGCTCACCAGGCTTCTTCTCCTCTTCAGCCTTGCTGGGCTCGTCGACTTCGGCAGGACTTGTGGCTGCGACGGCAGCGTCCTTCTCGGCAGGGCTGTCAGAGGGAACCTTGCTTTTCGTGGCAGTCTGCTCCCTGTTCTTGGCTTCACTGACGGCGGCCCCCTGCGTGGCTTGCTTTATCTTCTCCTTCAGCTCATCCTGGATCTCCTTGGCCGTCTTGGGCGTGGCCGTACTCTCAGATCGACCATGAGCAGAGGGTGTGGATGACTTGGGCGGGGGGGTAGGCGTCGAGGCCACGGCAGGAGGCGTCTTGGACTGCTGGCCAGTGGGGGCAGGAGAGACGGGTTGCTTGAAGGTTGAAGTGTCAACAACTTCGCCGGCGGCATTCTTGATCTGAATAGCCGCGCTCTTCCTAGGCTTGACAAAGTTGTTGGGTCCAGGCTTGCCCGGAGCATTGGGAGGCTGGCACGAGCCGACAACGAGCGGCTGGCTCTGCTGGCTGGCGCTGGAAGGTCGCTCGGGTTGCGACGGGGTACGGGACATGCTGTGGCTTTGCTGGGAAGCATAAGGAGGCGCAAACTGCTGGCTGTAAGCAGGCGAGTTGGTCTGCGGAGGGGGCATGTACGGCGGGACACTATTGTAGGCATAGGGAATGGGCACGGGTCGGCCGTATTGATCAATCTGCGACGGCGGGTAGCCGTAGTTCTGATGCTTTCTAGTCAGCCAAAGTTCAAAGCCACCACTTTCGGGTGATAAATCAAGCGGAGATGCGTCTTGAGGGAGGAACTTGGGCAAAGGCAGAGGGGCAGCATGAGAATGAACATGATTGTGGTATTGCACTGCCGACCCAGCGCCGCCACCGGACACGTCACCTCGAGCGCGACCGACATCGTGGTCACGCCACTGTTGCTCTGGCCGCTGGTGCAAACGGCGCTGAGGCTGACTAGGGTCGCTTCCGCGTAGCTCGCGTATGGGGTCCAGTGGACGCCCTGACTGCAGGGACTTGGCGTGGTCTCGACGAGCCTTGCTCTTCTTGAACGACTTAAAATGCAATTTATCAGACACGTCAGAAAAGGGAGCCTGTACTTGTTGGTGCTGTGGTGCCATGGGAGGCGGCGGATAATGGTACTGCGGAGACGTGCCCGTGGTCATGTTCGGCTGCATCGTCGCCGGGGGCATGCTGGGAGTATTTGGCATCGACGGGACGAGGGCAGGGCTCCGAGCCGGCTGGGGAGAGTTGGGATACGGCATGTTGCGCGGTTGAGGCTGGAAGGAAGGGGGCATGCCACGACCTTGACCGGGCCCGTTTCTGAACTGATTGTTTGGCGGGTACCCCATTTGATTGCTGAATTGATTGTGTGGATTGAAACCTCGGCCACGGCCGCCTTGGGGAGGGAAGTTGGATCGGTTGTCGCCCTGAACAGAGTGGCTCGACTCGCGTCTGTAATGCGCTCCCGGCTGCGCTCCCATTGCATTCGAGTTGGGGGGCACCGAGCCCTGTCTCATGTGGCGCTGCGAGAATCGCAAGTTAGTGAATGGTGCCGTGCGTGAATTGTGCATCTTGGTGCGCATATTGGGATGGGGGGTTGAGTGAGGAGTGGGAGCAGCAAGCAAGGGGCAAACGTGGCCAAAGCTCGCTGCTGTATTCTTGGTCACGTCTTTGCCTCTCCCCTTGTTTTTCTTACCTCGCCATCACTGCTGAGACTACCAAATGTCATCTGGGCACTGGCTGGGAGACCGGAAGGAGGCCGGCCGCCGCTGGCAGACGGCTGGGGAATCGGGGACGGGGAGTGGGCGGGCGAGGGCACGCGATGGGTGCCGGCTCCAGGAATGGGGATAGGAGCAGCGTTGCCAGCATGGGGAGTGCTGTGTGCCATGGCCGGTGAATCGAAGCCAAACTGAATGCCAGGTTTGGCGCCGCCATTGGCAGCAAAAGAATTCGGGCCATTGGCAGCCATGGTGACGGAGCTTTTTCTCGAATGGTCCGCGCCGGCGCCGTTGGTAGAGCTACCGCGGGCAACAGCAGGGACAGCAGGGGCGACGGCTGGCTTGCCGTTCACAGGAGATGGCGAAGACGTGTTGGCATTCTGTGCCAGGGAGGCAGAGGAAGAGCCAACCACGACAGGAGGTTGGGAACCGGTTGCGACCAGGGGCGTCTGAACAGGTCTCTTGGGCGCACCTGCAGCGGAGGCATAAGAAGTCGCCGTGGTCGCGGAGGTGTTGGGCGCCGGGATCGGATTCTGCTGATTCGCAGGCGACGTCATAAGGGGAGAAGTCTTGTCGAGTCGTGAAAGGATTTGATGACGAGGCTTTGTTGTTGACGCCGAAGGCCGATGGGATGGATGCCGAAATAAAAGGAGCGCGGCGGCTTGACGACTCGAAGCCTTTCTCACGGAGCCTCGATGTGCGCTCTGGAATACGGACGGACTCGACTTCAAAGCAGCAGAAACCGAAGTCTGCCGTCAGGAAGGGGAGAGGTAGAGCTCGCGAACAAAGGCGCGCGCGAAAGCGATTCAATACACGGCTGGCAAACGATGGTGGTTTGGGCAAGGACAAACTCCCAAGGCAAGCCAAAGAAAAACGGGTCAAGGAGCGGGCGAGAAAAAAAAAAAAAGAACAAGACCGACCAGGCGCGGACCGCGGGCGTCGCGAGACGAGAACCACGGCGGAGGGCGAGGACGGGATCCCGGACCGGATGGGCAGGGGGAAGATTAGTCTTCTGGTGGGCGAGACACAGAAGAAGAAGAATCCAATACCAATGGAGGGGAGAGGGGGGAGAAAGGGTCTGGTGAGGAAATGATTCCACCTAGACCAGACGGTGGTGGTTTTTTGGATGGAGTGGTGAGGGTTTGAGAGGAGAATCTGCAGGAAAATTTTGGGCAGCGGGATAATATTAGTATGGGAAGCCGGGAACAGACAGGCAGACAGGACAGGACAAGACGTGTGGAGGAGCACCAATCAGACGGGCGGAAAGGGAAAGAGCCGGGCCTCTAGTCCACGTCGAGCACAAGCGCTGCACATGGAGCACAAGCACCGCACAAAGCACAGCACAGGCACAGGCACAAGCACAACGCAGGCGGCCTGGCACAAAGCAACGGACGGCCAGGCCTGCCCGAGCCGCTGGCCGCGGTGCTCATACAGTGGACGACCGCCCGACACCACGCACTAGTTAGTTGGTTGCTGCCAAAGTTGTGCCTCTGCGCACTGGTACGGAGTACATGTGAACCAAACACCCAGGTGAGTAAGCAAGCGGACAGACGACTGCGTCGAGTCCCTTCCAAGACGCCATCAGACGCAGGCACCTGCTCGGCCGCAGCAGGCAATCACCAACCAAGACCAAGACTTCAATCCCGCATCGTCGCGTCTTCTCTCGAGCCGCGCTTGTGCTCCGTCCGCGGATACGAAGCCTGATGTCGGTTCGGCATGTTTCTTTCTGCAAAGAGGCTGTGGCGGGCCCGGCGCCAGACTATAGATCCCCTCTCTCTCTCTCGCGACTCGGCACAAAGGCGTCTCTCCCGCGGTCTGTTCTTGCCTCCTCGCTCTTATCGTGACCGCCGGGGCCAAAAAAAAAAAAAAAAAAAAAAAAAAAAAGGCCAGAGCAGGAGAATAGTGTGCGCGCTGTGTGCTCGCAGACACGGCGGACATGATTCGCCAATGCATTAGTTACTCCGTAGACGCTTGAGGTGCCAGCTATTCTGGCCTTCCCCCATGCACCGCACCCACTGCGCGCCGCCGCGACCAAAAAACAAAGTGGCCGAGTGGGCCATGCAACCACTTCAATTTGCGTTCCGCGTCCAGTCCAGAACCATCAACTGCCAGCATTGCCACGGCCCATGGAACAATAAGATTCACTACCACGTACTGTGTGTACCATGTACCGCGTACAGACTCCCAGGTGTCTTGGCCAAAGCACAAGCCTTGCCTTGTTCGCGACAAGTCTCCTCTGGTAAAGACAACGAGTCGGCACGCCAATATGCCTCTAGAATACGTAGTCCTGGCAGCGCGCCGTACTTGTCTGACAAAACTAGGCCCGTCGCCGCCGCCGTCTTTCCTGAGAGAGCTTCCACACCAAGCTGCTCGACTGTGGCTTTCAAAATGCCTCCCTCGCAAAAGGAAACAACGAAGAAAGAAAAAAAGGAACGAAAACATGCCATCAACAAAAATGCTTCACAGACGGCCGGCCGACGCTGTGCCTTGCTTCTCTTCTCCCCTCAACGTCCGTCGTCATCGTCGTGTCGTACTACTGGCAGTAGTGAACCATCGTCAGACTCATCTCATCTTGAGTCTTGCCTGACGCGGGCCCGCTCGCCCAGCAGGACGCCAAGTACGGAGTAGTCGGAAATGGAGCAGAAACTCCTCCCGACATGGATCAGATACCAACTAGAAGCTGACAAGTCCTAACTTACTAGTAGTACTAGTTGCCGCCCCCGGCATCTGTAGCATGTGTGGCCATCCACCTCGCAAACAAGCGTCCGTTTCCCGTCCCCATCTACTTTTCGAGAACAAGGTAGGTAACTACTAGTACTAGCATGTGCGCGTGCTCGGCCCGTCCGTCCCCCTGAAAAGTTTCCTCGGCCCAACTGGCAGCTCCCAGCTCCCAGCTCCTAGTCTGCTTGGTCTGGGGGCGTGTCTGCGCCTCTTGGGTCACAGGACTGCCGTCCCGTCTCGTGATGAATCATCCACCACCATCACTCATTTGCAGAGGGGCTCACGCCCTGTGCTCGACTTTGTAACTTACGCGCCCAATTATAAAGTGTACAGGAACCTACCTGTTTGATACTCCATCATGATACCCTGCCAGTCCGGGGGTGGCGACTCTCTCTGTCACCACGGAGATGTGCCCCCTGGCGCCATGCACCAACCAACTTGAATTGGCACGGACAGAATAACTATACGCCAACCTCTGTCGGCGCAGGCCCAAGTCCCGAATTTAAAAAAAAAAAAAGAAAAGAAAAGGCGGAAAAGGTCAACCTTGAATACATACACAGTGTCGGGGTGCAACCACCGTCTCCAAACACCCGACTTGCTTCCAGGAAGAATTACGCCACCGAGACGACGCGTCTGTTACTCATCGTTGCCAACCGCTTCCTCGGTCCTCGATTCAAACCCAAAAATGCTCTACAGAGTACCACCCTGCTTTTACGCCCAAATCTCGGCTACTTCTTGTTTTCTCCTTCGCGGACCTCCAGAATATCTGGCTCCGCTTCCTTCTCGTCTTCGTCGTAGTACGGAGCCTGTGCTCCTCCATCTCCCTCTCCCTCTCCCTCTCCCTCTTCCTCTTCCTCTTCCTCTTCGGCTATGCTTCCTGGCCCAGTCGTGGCAGATTCCGCCGAGACGCCCTGCGCTTGTAATCGTTCAAGTCTCGTATTGGTCATCTCAAACACGTATTGTCCCAGGTGCTCCACGTTTTCCATCGCCACTTCTCCCTCCACACTCGAACCATCCTCCAAGTTGGCTCTCTCCGTCGGCCACATCTCTCCTGTCACAAGCATCAGCTTGTCCGGCCGCCCCAGCACGAGGTCGAATGCGGGTCGGAGCTCCGGGCACGCCTCAAACACCTCCCGGCGACCAAGAATGTACAATCCGAGCCTGGCTCGAGATACCGCAACCGTCATGCGCCGGACGTCGCGCAAGTAACCCACCCGCGACGTTCTAGTCAGGGACAAGATGATGTCTGCCACACCATGTCAGTACAGGGGACAATACGATCCGGCGCCGAGAGCCCATCGCACCATGCGCTTAATTGATGGACTCATCAACCAACACTTACAATCATTCTGTTCGCCTTGGTACTTGTCCACCGTGGCAACCGCCTTGGGAAGTCCGAAAATGGGCCTCTTGGCACATCTGTGAGCAAGCACGTCTTTGACCAGAGCTCGTTGCCCCGCGTAGGTTGTCAGGATGCTGATCTTCTCCGCCGGATACCCCAGCAGCCGCATGTACTGGTATATGGCCACGGCATACTCTGCCTCGCCCAGATTCTGAATGAAATGCGGTGTCGGCTCCGACTCCCCACGGCCCTTGTAGTCGGGTACGTTGATGAACTGGTAATCAAACTTGAAGCCGGCATTGCCTCGGAGAAATTCGCCTTGGTTCTGCACGTGTGGCAGGTTGTCCAGCTTGGGGTACCTCCACTGGTAAAGTCTTGCCATCGAGGGCCGAGCACGTCCCTGCTGATCAAGGTGGACGGTTGGGACTCCCAGCCGGACCAGACGGGAGAATAGCGACTGTTCCAGGTTGGCGTAGTGGCGGAATGCCAAGCTCTGAATGACCGGCGAGTTCTGGAGGTGATCGCCGCACAAGACGACCCTCTTCAGTGGCATTTGGTTATTCGTCGGCTTTTGCATGGCAAGGGGCATGAATGTTTCAATTTCGGTGATTTGGGCCGCCTCTTCCATGACCACATTGTCATAGTGGAAGCCGAGTGAGGCAATCTCGCCTCGTCGAATGGCGGCATGAGTAGTCGTCATGGCTATGATTCTAGCCTCGTTGGTCAGCAAGTAGTTGGCCTTCTCTCGGTCACGGCGGAGGATTTCAAATGGAACAATGTCGGCCAGCTCTGAAAATATCTTGATGATATGCCGGTAGCAACCAGTGGCGATTTCCAGCGTCGTCGCACGATCGGCATCCTCTGGGAACAATGGTTGAGGCGCGTCAGCAAAGTAGGCATGGAACGGGAAGGCCTCTACAAGGTCCGCGACGGACGTCTCGCCCGAGGTTGCAGCGCGCTGGAATCTTTTCCACGCGGGTTCAACGTAGACCTTGTTGAAGTACCCAGCAGTCTCTGCCGAGTTATCATGCGCTCCTGGCGCCCCAAGGCTTGACGCGAGTTTTCTGACTTCTTGTAGAAGTGTCTGCCTGTTGTCAAGGAATGATTCAACACGACCGTGTTTGCTGAAGCTTCCCGCCGTGTCCAAGTCTTCCTCTCCATGTCCCAGACGGAGCAGGTGTCTCTCGTCAATATCCAGTGCGACAATCTTGGCAAATAATTGGTTGAGTGCCTGGTTGCTGTGCGCAACAAGCAACGTCCTCTCCTGTGGGAAGTTGTGATAGATGTTGTTGATGATTTGAGTAGCCACGTCTGTCTTTCCTGTTCCCGGGGGGCCCACAATCACCGTTAATCCAGGCTGCGATCCCGACATGATGGCCTCGATCTGAGCGGGCGTGAATCGGACGGAATTCAACTTGGGCGCATCCACAGGGTATGGCCCATTGTTTGGGGGCTTATATGTCGATACCCGAAGGATGTCGACCTCGGATTGCTTCGTCGGGTCTGCGTCGCGCCGGCGCTTCTTCGATGGTCGAGCTCCGTTAGCCGCTTCAACCTTGTCGGCTTCCTCTAGAACATATGGAGGGCCAAAGCTGCCTGTGACATCGCCCCCAGGCTCGACGGTTTTGCCCGGCAAGCTTTCAACTAGATGTTGCCAGTCAAGAAAGGTGTCCCTGTAGTCAAGCTTCTTGTTTCGGCTGGACATGTTCTTGTAATTTGCACCCGCTGGGTCGCCGTATCCCAGGAAGACTTCATACAGCCAGGGCGGAAGAGGCATTTCCGACAAGACGAGCTTGCGAATGGACTCCAGAACAGGCTTGAAGTTGTTTTCCCTTCGTCCCCGTCTTAAAAGCAAGTTGACTTGGCCGTAGACATCAGGTTTGCCCCCTGATGCGCGTTCTGAATCTCTAGAGTACATGTATGGGTCCAGTCTCAGATGCATCCTGCGCTTGTTGTCGAGATTCATGGAGCCATCCCTGACAGGACGCCCCTTTTCGTCTGTGATGCTAATTATCTCGGCGGACCGTACTGATATAATGCCGAGCTTCTCATGCTCAGACCGAATATCGTCGCCGTTGACGGCTGCTTGCGAAGGTGGTGCTCCAACAGCCAAGAGAAATACGACATCGTCGGGACGGAGACTGTTCCATTCCCGTCGAACATTGTGTCCCAGGCGTCGAACATCAAACGAGATTTCAGCTTTCACCAGTGACGGAAGTTCTTCGCCCACTAGCGGGGGTATAACTTCGAGAACTGACGGTTTCGAAATTGGCATGGCCATTTTCGAGTATCCTGCAAAGTTTACCACGCCAGGCTGCTTGGACTCTGGCCGGAGACGACGCAAGGCTGTTTCCACATCCTTTCGAATGCCGTAGAAGGCTTCGCAACGGTATAAAATCATTGCCCTCCAGAGGAAATCTCCGACGGATAGGTACTGCAGATTCAGCTTGGGCAAAGCCAGAGGATGAGATCCATCATACGCATCTGCTCGCTGGAAGCCACTGTCAAACAAGGTTCGTTCGGTTGGAACTAGCGGCATATACCGAGCGGCCTCACGGAAGGTTTTCTTCCGCTCGAATTTACTCAGCATGATTTCAGTAAGCACCCTGCGATCGACTGGCAGTGCAAGAGACTCCGGGTATGTAGATCGCATATCGAGAAGTGTGAAGAGCTGGGTGAGTTCCTCATCCGTCAAGGGTTCAAGGAGACCCTCAAGCTCATCTCTCTTGTCTATGCCTCCATAATTCGAGAGGGCCAAAACCATGAGTTTGTCTTTAAAGTGCGTCAGAGCGACCCGCTGCAGCTTCCCAAGGGCTAGACAGTGCTTGTCGTATGCTTCCGTCATGGTCAATTGGATTCCAGTCTGGTCGTCTATGGTGAAGTGGGTATAGTGCGAGAGCAGAGCGTGTAAGTCTCGCAGCAGAGAGTTGTTCTCGTTATTGTATGTCGGTGAGAGTTTCATAAGAGGTAAGACATGCAAGTCTTGGAGTAGCGTATTAAGATAGCGCCTTGTAGGCAGCTGGCTTTGAAGATCGGAGATGAACTCGGTGAACCTCTCGCAATACAAAGCTTGATCTGGAGGAGCGGGTCCGTCAACGTGTGCAAAATGGGTGAAGGACTGGAGGGAACCCGAGTAGGATTGCATACCTGACTTGGCAGTGGTATCGTCATACAAGAGACCCAAAAAGTCCAGAAGCAGCGAGTAGAGCCAGGATCTTTCGAAGCGAAGCCGAGCCTTGGTATCGTCATCGCCCGCGTCATACCGCTTCTGGGATGCCCTCCAAGCCTTTCGCAAATGAGCGTTTTGGTCCAGTAAAGTCTCCCGTTGCTTTTCGCTAGACAAGTTCTGCCAGATTCCTATTGACACCAGCGGTGCACATTCCTTTCTGACAATAGAGCAATCTAGACTCTGGAACGCGTAAATCAAAAAACAAACAAGATGGGTTCGTATGGAAATGGAGAGGGTGCGGTCGAGCAACAGCGACAGGGCTCGGCGGAACATGGACGAGAAATCCTCGGGTCGATCTTCAAACAAGGCTGTATGCAAAGTCAGTTGAAAGATTGCCCACTAATCAATCAAAAAGGTAAAGAGTCTTCACTCACCCCATGTCTCCAAGTGTTCGCGCCGTTTCACGTTTGCTATTAGTACAATCAAGAGGACATGAAAATTCGACGCTTCGTCGGTATATCCCGGCCAGAGATAGCTGTTGCGCGTGAGCAAGATTAGCTGGGACTGGGCGGCTTCAAAACAACGCGCTACAGCCTTGAGACATACCTCTCCAGGGTTTGCAGGCTCTCCAAGAGGAGAAGCGACTTGTATTGGAAGCCATCTTGTTCCAGAACATGCCAGATGCCCTGCTTCAGAACGTCGTTCTTGACCCTGGACTTTGCGGTCCTTTTCCCAGGCTTTAACCAGTGGTTTCTCGCCAGCTGAACAAACGAGTGCTCCTCCTCTTCGACTTCAGCGGGAGTTGGACGTTCGTCCTGGACATGGACGGCGGGCTCGCGGGTCTTGCCAGCTTTGGCTGCACCACTGCCCTTGAGGCGCTTGGCGTTGGGCATAATGGCTTCGTGCTCACGTCATGGGCCGATTCGAGAGCTACGGCGCGAGGGGGAGAACGGCGATGGCAGCTCGGTGCTGGCGCAGAAGCAAAGCTGCGAGTCGACGGGGTGAGCTGGTCGACATGCAGATGTCGTCGTCGGCTCGTCGCATGCTCAGACGAGATTAATTGAACCCTGGACAAGAGGTGCGTCGATTGGATGGAAGGCTTCGGCTTGGAAAACAAAATTTCAGCCTTGCGTGAGCCCCACAGGCAGCCAGGGGCCAGGGCCAGGGCGCCGTTCACAGTGGCGAATGCCCCGCCAGTGCCCGCTGTGCTCACTGCCGCCACGTCAACTGGTCCGGTGTTTGCGCTGCAACGCGCGGGCGAGGCCTCGCGGTGCACCGTTTTTTGCAGTGCGCCGCGCTGGGCATGGGGCGGCAAGCTCCCTGTATTCGGTGCCCCTCGGCGCTGGAGGTGATCGCCCCAGACCCAGACGCCAGCCTTGGATTCCGTACCTGCCCAGGCAGGCAAATGACCGGAGTCATGCATGACATTTGGATTTCTTTGTTCCACCAGACACCAGACACCTTTGAAGCTTCTCTGTCTGACTTCCAACTTCGCAGTCATCGCATGCCATCCACTCCCAGACACTTTTCTGCAATTTGACATTCGACATTCGACCTCGAGACCTCCCTTTCAAGCCTCGCCTTTCCAGCCTTTCGCAACCTGCAACTACCTCACCACCCCGGCTGTATTTGTTCCGCTGCAAAAGTGCTGCTTCATGCGCTGCGGAAGTGCTCGACAGTCCCTGGAGAAGACGGCACACGATCTGCATGCCCTTGCAAAGCGACATACGCCGTCACTTGGTAGTCAAGCTGCACCCGTCGTCCGCCGCGGACAACGAGGCTGCATCACGAGTAGCCAGCCCTGGTAAACCTTCCAGTCTCGATATCAAGGCCAAGCCCATCTGCCAATATGCCGGCTCTCGATGCTCAGAACCCAGGCGTCTCTGCCGTCGCCAAGTTCGGCTCGTTATTGGATCAGCTTCTTGCTGAGGCTGCCGTCGTGAAATCGGCAGCCACAATCGAACCCACGCTCAACAAGTCGGATTTCAAGGACATTTCTGGTCGTGTATGGGCCTGCGTCTCCAGTGACTCTGCCCCCGGGAACGACGAACAAGTCTCTGGGCTTCAGACACATGAGAAAGCAAAGCAATCCGCTGTCATCGAGGCAGCCTCGCGGGACCTATTTAGCAGACTGATAGTAAGTGCAGCAAGGACCGCCGTGCGAAATCTCTCACATCGAGGCTAATTTCTTTCGAGGCTGCGACATCTATCGAATCGCCTGATTTTGTCAAGATTTGGAACCTTCTTGACATTCTTTCAATATTGTCCGACGACGGCCAATGCGATCCCGCGCTGCTCTTTTGGCTCGTCGAAGAGCTCCTCGACAGCCAGACCATTTCGGGGTGTCGCATAGTGTTTGATTATCTCGAGTCACGCCGTGAACGCATCATGTCCAAACATTTTAAGCAAAAAAATCTCGTAGTTCTGCGCAGCTGCAATGAACTCTTGCGTCGCCTTTCGAGAGCTGAGGATACGGCCTTCTGCGGACGGGTATTCATCTTCTTATTTCAGAGTTTTCCCCTGGGCGATAGAAGCTCTGTCAATCTCCGAGGAGAATATCACGTGGAAAATGTCACTGCTTTTGAGGAGCCGACGGAGGAGGATGAGCAGCAACAGCAAGCGCTGAAGATGGAGGTCGACGCTTCTAAGCGCTCGCAAAAGCTGTACGATTCCAACCGCCTCTATACACTATTTTGGTCTCTCCAGGAGAGCTTCAGTCAGCCACTCAAACTATTTGACGCTACACATTTCAACAAATTCAAGAGCAGTCTAGAGATTACCATACAGGCTTTCCAGGCCATTCATCAAGCCGAAGGCCCATCCAAGGCTTTGGAAAATTCAAGAAGAAACCTCAAGCGAAAAAGAGAGGATGGGGGGCCCGAGGACGCTTCGGAAGCATTCAATCCAAAGTACTTGACCAGCAAAGATCTGTTTGAGCTTGAAGTATGCTTTATACCTCCGCTGTTTCCCCTGCCACACCCCAGATGAATATTGGGCTAATTGGTGGATGCAGATTAGCGACCTCTCATTCAGACGGCATGTCTTGGTACAGGCGCTCATCATTACCGACTTTCTTCTGTCGCTCTCCACAGAAACAAAGGAGAAGTTTGCCAGCCTGGACAATACTAGCCCAAACAAATCAGTCCTGTACAATGATCAGCTGAGCGAGGAAAATGTAGGTGACATGAAACAATAGAGACGTCACAGCCATCATCCCGGGCTTTTCTAACCAATTCATAGACGAAATGGGCAACTGAAATGAAGTCAACCATATCAGACTACCTTAAGAGGGGCATTGACGGACCTTACTTCTATCGCATGGTCGAGACCGTACTGGCTCGAGACAAGAACTGGGTATTCTGGAAGATGGCGTCCTGTTCATCCATTCAGTGCGAACCTGTTTCTCCCGAGCTTTTTGTTCAAGCAAGGAGCGTGGCGCAAAAGATAGCCACCAGCAAACGGCTGCGACCGACGCCCATGGGGTCTGTATCCCTCGACTTTCTCCGCGAAATTGACGATGAATCTTCCCTGAATCAGCTCAAGACGCCTGGGAGATATCGACTACCAGAACTCGAAAGCTTTCAAAGAAAAATTGCCGATGACGACTTTGAAATCGAGATGCCAACAAACGACCAAACAAAGGCCGCCGCCATAGCTGGCAAGGCCAGCAAGAGTTGGCGGGCTCTCAGAATAGCGGCTCGCTCAAAATTGGCATCCTTTGACAAGATTGACGACTCCAAGAAGGTGGACGTTGTCTTCAAGGAGCTCCAAGATGAAGATCAAGACGTCGACGTCGACGACGACGAGCAGGCAGCGACCGAGGACGACGTGCCCGAAGATCGCAGCCCCGTCATCATATCCGGGCCCAAAGGCGTCGGCAAGTCAGCCCTTGTCAAAAAGCTCCTCGAGCAGCACAAAGGTGTCTTTGCAGCGGTCGTACGACACACGATTCGAGAGCCCGCAGAGGGTGAAATCAGGGGCAAGAGTTTCCACTTTGTCACTGCCCAGGAATTCAACCAGCTACGCGACGGCGATCGCTTCATCGAGTACGGGACCAGAGACGGCATCGAGTACGGCACAAGCAGCAAGGTCGTTGATGCGGTCGCAGAGTCTGGCAAAGTCGCCGTCATTGAGCTAGACCTAGAGGCATGATTCCCGCCCCCCGCAGCTAGTCTGTCCCAAGCAGCGACATTTCCAAAATGATCAAACATGTATCAGCGTGAAACTAACTCTTCCCTGTCACGCAGGCCGCCCAATTTGCCAAGGACTTGGGCTTTGCAGCCCGCTACGTCCTCATCAAGCCCCCAGCTACCGAAGCATACCAAGCCCGCCTCTCCTCCGCCGGGTACGACGACCCCGTCATCGAGGGCATTCTGTCCAGACTCCCCGATGAGTTGGATGATTCTAAAATCTCGGCACTTTTCGACGTGACGCTCGCCAACGAAGAGGGGTTAGAAGACGTCGCCAAGTCTCTGGGTCAGTACATCTTTTCAAAGAGAAACCAGGCCGATGGGGACGAGAGCAAACGCGGAGCAGGGGAATATTCTTCAGGGGGACAGGATTCGCAGGGAGATGAGGCTGCTTCGACCACAGTGGCAGCCACGTCTGCTGGGACCGAAGCTGACGCTGCCGAGGACGAGAGCATGGTGGATGTCCCCGCGAACAAGACGGGCCGGAAATAACAATAATGCATTATGTAGAATAGTAGTAGAGAAATGGGACAACTAGACGCCCAGCATGTAGCATAAGTGCAACGCAATACCGCATGGCAAACGACCACACTTTATTCATCGCCGGTTCCGTTCAGGAGCTCGCCGCGTCGAGGCCGACTTGTCTATCATCCGGTAGTGGGACGTGGGACGAGCCCACTGGTTCATTGCAAAATCCACGCAGGTGGTCACGACTCACGACGATGATACTCCGTCAAGGAAAATACCACAAAAAGACACTCACATACAGCTAGAGATGGACTATCAAATCACAACGTTACAAGCAGTCTGGAGACAAAAAAACCTTCTTTTCTCTTTCAGTCTTTGATGTATAGCATGATTTCTTTCATCACTCGAACAACTTCATAAGCGAATGATTCCATGGGCATCCTAGCACTTGGAGAGGAGAGGAGACAGGTTACAAACAAAATCACTCGTCATCCTCTTCCTCATCAGACTCTTCCTCGTCGGCCTCAGCAAGCCATTCGAGGAAGGGCTTGGCAGCCTGGCGAATCTTTCTCGAGGTGTTCTTGTCAGTGTATTTCTTGCTGGCGTGGGTGCCCCACTTGGTCACTACCTCCTCGCTGATGAGGTCATGGTGATAGTACAGCTGCAGAATCTTGACAATCTGCTGCAGGAAGTCAGGGTTCGATTCGGCCAGGGTTCCAAGCAGACGCTCAGTGCCTCCCAGAAGAGCCTTTTCGTGGCGCTCGGAGTTGATGATCTGCAAAGCACGTTAGCGGATCCATTGCCCGTGGTTCAGCCTCAGTCGCTGCTCAATCGGTCTAGACTTCAGGGCTACATACCTGCTTGAGCATGCCAGCGCGCTTCGGGATCTGGGCACAGACATTCTTGTCAAAGATGGTCTGAGCGAGAACCAGGACAGTGCGATGCTTGTTTTCAATGCCCATGTCCTTGGCCTTCAGATAGATGTCGATCGAGTCAACATTGTCAATGCCATCCTTCCCGTCAGCCTCGGTCTGGATCCAGGATCCAAACTCGTCGTAGACAGTGTTGCCACCCTCCCCGTCTTCGTCGTCGTCGTTGAGACTCAGCTTCTGCTTGAACTCGCCAGGGAGTTGGGCCTGACGAGCCTTGACGGCCTCTTCGCTCATATCCACAGCCCATTCGTCGTCCTTGACTTGAACAGCCGCGTCTTCGATGACATCGGCTTGGAGCTTGTTAAACTCACGGTCGCTACCAGCATCATCATTCTCTTCATTCTCGTTGGAGCCATTCTCGGACCCTTCCTGCTCACCACCACTGGCGTGACCGTTCTCGGTGGCAGTGCCATTCTGCTTGGCTTTCTTGGCTGCTCTGCGTTCAGCCTTGTCCTTCTTGTTCTTCTTGCTGGGCTGGTTCTTGAGAATGTAGCCACTCAGCTTGAGGCGCAGATCAACAGCGGTTCGCTGACCACAGGCCTTGCAGTCCAAGAGAATGCGGTCGTTGTCAATTTTGATGTCGGTCTCGGGGTTCTTGCAGCTCTTGCAGAGAACGAACTTGTTGATGAAACCATCGAGGTGGTCCTGGAGCTTTCCAGCCTCATGAGCACCGTTGATGATCCAACGGTCGTCCTTGATATCGTCTCGGGTCATGGCACCGAGTTCGAAGCCAAAGTACTTCATGATGTACGACGCAGGGCGGGCAAGAGACGCAGCGACGCTGGAAACATTGACGACGACGGTCTTGATACCGTTACCTTTTCCCTCGACCTTGGTCTGCAAACGCTCCATCTTGTAGCGATAGAAAGCGTCGCTGACATCGCGGCGAACGTTGATAAGAGACATGGTGGCGTAATTGAACGGCTAGAAAAAGACGAATCTCCTTTCGAGTGTGTGTGGGTGCGTGGGTGTGTGTGAATGTGTTTTTGGGTCAAGGCGGTGTGATGATTGACGACAAGTCCAAGGTGGTTCAAAGAGAATGTGAAGCTGTGAAGCGGGTGGCAAGAGGCTCTAAAGCGACGGATTCGGCATGAAGATGGTTGCTGGGCTGGAAATCGTTGAGCAAGCAGGGATTTCAGTGCTCAACAAGACGAGTTATGTTTGACATAGGGCAAACGGGACGGTATCTCGATAACCAGTAGGGTAGGCATGAACTCGAATTGAGGAGTCTTCAGCCGTCGGAACTGATGTTGGGGCTGCAAAGTTTTCGCGGTATGCGAAACAAGTGCAGCTTGAAGGGGGGTCTGGGTAGAGTGAATTGATCGTGCTGATACATAAACAGCAATATGCGCCCGATCGTCGCTAAGTGTTTTCTTGGTTCAGCTATTACGTGAGGAGGATCAAAGACTGCACGTGATTGTTGTGCGTTTTCAATCAAGTCCTGGCGTAGTAAAATGCGGGAGCAAGACGACGAAGACGTGGAGGTTGCGTTTGCGAGTGGCGGAAAGCGGGCGGCGAGGCGTTGGTGTTGTTGCGCTGCGACCGACAATAGAGTCAACAGGCGAAATGACGGCTTCGCTGGGCGGCGGGCGAATATTGTGGTTGTGATTGTGATTGTGATTGTGTTGAGTATCCGGCGACGGACGGTAGACTTGAAGAGTTTTGTTGGGAGTCAGCGGGTGCGAGAAGAAGGCAGAATAAAAATGAGAACGAGATGTGGGAGGGACGAGGGACAAGGGACAGAAATGTGGACTGGAATTTCTGGCAGAGATTTCGTTTGGCACAGGAGCAAGGTGGGGTTCCGGAACTTTGCTGAGTCCTGACATAAGCCTTTTTTCTTTTTATGTTTGTGCTTGTGCTTGTGCTCGCGCTCGCGCTCGCTGCTTGGACGTTCCGAGTACTCCGTAGTACAAAAGGCAATTGGCCGAGGCCGTTTTATATCACATACTCCGTAATATTTATAGCAATGGTACCGCTAGTAAAACCTGCCTCTCAGTTTAAAAAAGTGGCTTTGTGTTGATCATCACATATCTTTGCGGGGAGAACAAAGAAGACGCAGCGCCAACCAAAGGCTTTAAGTTATTTACTTGGCACTTCCGGCGGCGGAAAAAAATTGCCCCCTTGGATGGATCACGTGACGCGGCGATAGTCGACCTTGGAAGTCGGAAACTGCTCACGTGCAAGCATTATTCACCATCATTACCAGCAACACCCTAACGGGTGCGCGCAATTTCACAAGGGTTCAACATTCCGCAGTCCAAGTACTAGGAGGAACCATGCCATTCCTACCCAAGGCGATTCCATGAATACATTTTGTGCACGTCTGACCATGGTCAAGGCTACAATGCGAACATAAAAACGGCCGCCAGAGCCTCCGACTGGCGCCTACGGGGCCTCGACTGTTGCCCCATGTTTCTATTGGGTGAAATACGGTTTTCATGCATGGGCGAAGGCTGTCTGCCAGATACCGTTGGTCCGGACTCGGGACCTGCCGTGGCGGACACGAAGTCGTTTTTCGAATACGACAGGTGTGGTGTCATGTTCAAGGTCATGAAAGTGACGCCGGCCGTTTCTTCCCAACGGTCTCTAGATGCAACATGTGCTTCGCTTTCATCTCTTTGTCCCGCGCTGTCTCGTTCCAGCCTTGCCTCGTGTGTCGTCTATTGTTTCCGGATGCTGCCATCAGTTATCGAGGGGCCGCTTGATGCGGTCACTTTGTTCGGTCACATATCGGGGCTCTCGCACTTGTTTTTCTGATATTGTGTTGTGTCGAGTTGCGTAGTCTTCTACTGCAACGACGAAAGTAGACCAACAGAGACCGTAGACTCTGCACGTATAAGACAGTCGCACAAGCAATGTTCCATCGAGCCACGCTCGCTTGCTCATGGACTGGTTCGTTGGGTGCTGTCAGTGTCCATGTGTGTCCGCCGTCTGCATCTGCAGTGTAGTTGGCATCTCGCAACTCTGGCCGATTCGTAACGTGATCCATGCAGGCCGGCCAGCCGCTGACGTGATACGGGGTATCATAGATCAGAAGTTAGAACGGGAGCATGCATGCACGACGCCCGACGCCGGGCACCGACATCCACACGAGAGCAGCACGAGAGCACATGAGCACGATCCCAACGTCCCGACTACACGCAGTCGTGCCCAGAGTCGCCCGGTCATCTTCCACTTGCACCATATTTCTCGCTGCCATGTTCTATGCTCTTAACAAAGACTCCACGGGGTTCATTCTCGGGAAACTTGAGGTCGATATCTCCAGCTTCAGGTAGACCAGCACATGTCCAAGGGGATCAGGCAAGATGGACCTTGGCGTCCGGAGGCACACGTACCAGAGTCGTATAACCAGTGCGATGGGCTAGCTCTTCCGTATCATCATCGGTCTGCAGTTGCCGCGGTATATCTGGTTCACGTCTCCGATCTTTGCTGATGGAAAGGCCAGATGGGACCCGACACCTTCAGTAGAGTAATCTTGGCGACGGCAGCCGCCCAAGATCTTCAAACCCTTCCGAGCCTGGGCCTCAAGTTGCCTCCAATCACACAGGGTTCCCGATTTGTATTAGATCGCACAGCCCTTCTCCAGCGACTTGGCCAGCTGCCGACTTTCAAGTACTAGCTAGCCCTGTGAGGCCGTACGAGTCACCCCGCGCAATGTACACAAGCGCACAAGTCACTCATCCACGTGTTTGGCCATGAATGTCATTTCGCAGATACTTTGCTCTTGAACCTACGAAAAATGTCTATGGCGTCCCGCTGAATGTCAGCGTATATGTCACCTTGGGATCTCGGTCCGGGACGCGCAGCCGTCAAATCCTCCCGGCTCACCCACGTCTTTGACTTCGGGCAGCGGATGAAACTTAAGCAGGCATTTCTTGCCCAGCGGCCTAGTGGAAATCAGTTGGTCCGACATGACCATGGACTCTGCCGTCATGGAAGCGTCCGGCGTCGTGCTATATCGCGAGTAGACATCCCTCAGTAGCGTCTTCATCTCCGCAATGGCAAGGCTATAATTGAATAAAGGATGAATTTATTAGCCGTCCAGGGCACGCGTGTGTGACAAGAGCAGCGCAAAAAGCAAAGCGACTTACTGTTTGCCAATGCAACCCCGGCCGCCGTTGGAAAAGGCAAACAGCAACCGTCGTCGGTCTGCGTCACCTTGGGCAGCCATCCATCTGTCGGGGCGAAAGACGTCAGGATCCGGAAACACGTCAGTGTTCATGCGGTGCACAGAGTGCGCCTGACAGCTGACGATTGTGTTCTCGGGGACGTGGAAGCCGTCAATGGTTCTTCCGCCATGTGGCACCAGGCGAGGCAACGACATTGGGATGGCAGGGTAGCATCTCAGCCCCTCGCACAGCACGGCGTCCAAGAAGGGGAGTTGGTCGATGCCAACGTCGGGTTTCTTCCGTAGCTCATCTGATAGCCGGCGCTGCAGGTGAAGCGACCGCGGCTGGGAGAGCTCCCACATGAGGAAGCACAGCGTGTCGCCGGTGGTGTCGATGCCGGCAACCATGTGGTCTAAGCACTCGGCTGCCATGTCGATATGGTCTAGATGGCTCGACTTTTCTTCCAGCCGGCTCAGGAGCGTGAAGCTTGCCGCGTCGGTTCGCCTGCTGGTTTGCAGGACATAGTTGTCGGCAAGGGGCACAGATCGCGGCTTGACCAAGAAGGATAGGATGCCAGCAAACAGGCGGTGGAGCGTCGGACTGTAGTGAGAGATGAGACGGTCTGTGAGTAGTTCACTTAGCGGACCTTTTACACGTTGCCTTTGCAGGACGAGGCAGGGGATACATATTATATATATATATCATATGCATGTGTGGCTTACTCTGGAGGCTGTCATCTGCTGCTACTTGATGCATCATATCCTCATCCGTCTCTTTTCCGATGCAGTCGGTGCCGTTGGGGTGGAACAAGTGGTGAGTGATACAATCACAGGCATATGCATGGAGGGCTTCGTGGTAGTCAGCCACCAGGGCGGGAAAGGAAGCTTTTGAGTGGGCGGAGCTTTGCTAAACATACATATCTGTGTGAAGCGTCAGCCTCCCGTACATTGTTTGGAGTTCGAACTTCGGTCAAAGTCAACTTACAAAAATATCAGTAGCAACATCACCCGCCTGAGTGCAGCGGTGCAAAAACGCTCTGGATCGCTCCTGGATGCCGTCCAAGGAAATGCTACGCATAATGTTTGAATTGGCATACCGATCTGCGAGGATCCTCTTCCGCTTTGCATGCTGCCGTGAGGTCTTGTCAGATTCAAGACAACCATGTTGTTCACGGCCCTGTCTCACCACTTACATCTGCCTTGTTCAGTGTGGTAAACATGGTCCTGGGATCAGACAAGGTGCGTCAGACAGAACTGTCTCTGATGAAAAATATACGACATAGTACAAGAGGTTCCTAGGAAGCAAGCGAACCTTGTCCCATAAATCTTGAAGAGGTCGTAAAAGTCGGACTTGTCGTAACCACTCCCGCCGGAGCAGTATATCTCCTTGAGGGCGGGCCATGAGGTGTAGGACACTTGGTTGGGGGAAACCCGCACAACAGGGCCATATTTCTCATGCAGCGCATGAATGTAAAGTGTCCTTTTGGCATTGATCTCGTTCCACCTCAACGCCAGTGATGTGAAGAGAGACACGGTCGGACCCGGCAGCTTTCGGAGCGGAGAGGCGAGGCACCGGGCCATGTGAATAGCTGCCAGGACGAAGGCCGCGACGACAACGTATACGGGCGAGAGGAGGAGCATGGTCAAGCGGGAGAACAACTACATTGACACGTCTGGTCCAATCGCGGGAGTACGGGCAGGGGAGCGTTGGAGTTGGGCCGGGTCTTGTCAACGATGCACGAGATACACGGCCATCGGACCCTCGGCGGCGACTGGGCAGACTCGGCCGTTCGGTGCGATCCTTGGAGGGGCTGTTTCAGAGACTTGGGAGACGAACCCCACGGGCAACACCAATCACATTTGTTAATTGGTCACTATCGACGAGGTTACTCCGTATCGCGCGGCAGCTTATTGGTAGCGTCGACCCAGCCGTTGCCGACAATGGCCCTTTTTCACCATGAGGTGGTCATCGTGTTTGCCAGGGAAAGCCAAGAGCACACCTCGACGAGATATTCCACTACCATTTGACATCACAACGAGTCAAGTCTTTGTGCAGCACAGACGAATGCAAAGTAGCCAGGGCTAGCCGAGCTGTAGGGTAGCACCGGGTGATGGCCAAGGACGCAGAGCAGAGCAGAATCACCTCGGGTGTGGTTATTCCTGCAACGACAAGGAAAAAAAACAGGAAAGGAAGATAAGAGAAGATAAAATAAAATAAAATAAAATAAAAAAGTAGAGCAAATACCGAACAACTCTGGGGGATATTTTGCCGGGTACAAAAAACACCCATCACTTGCGCGAGACTCGGAGTACGGAGTAAGCAGAGGGGAAATGCGTCATGATCTCGTCCTTGGGCAGCGCTATTGGCCATCTCGCCTGCAACATGTTGTGTCAGTTGTGCCCAAGCCTGCCATGTTCTATTATTGGATTTGAAAGACGCTGTACGGCTGGGTCGGTGACATTGATGCTGTGCCACCAACACATGTTGTTGGCGAGAGCGGAACGTCGGTCCCAGATATTTGCTCCGCAACGGTAATCAGTCTGCTTCGACGGGATCATCCAAAGTCACCCTCGCCTTTACCTACAACTGGCCCTCTGACTCAACCCGCCGATGAGGGAAACGATGAAACTTGCCATGGGAGGCCATCATTCGCCATGTCTGAACTTGGACTTGAATCCCGCCGAGTTACTTCGTTCAGCTGCAGCCCAGAATACTGCGTAACTACGTACTCCGCACTCCGTGGACACATTGAAGATGCCGGAATCCAATAATAGAAACATCAGACTCCATCCGGGATAAGACCCTGTCTCGCCTGAAAAACAACTTGGCTCCATCAATTGATGATCCGCAAGGCGCTCCAGCCCCAATACGAACCGCCGCTACGGAACTCAGCTGTGGACCTTCTTGGCTGCTTGACTGATACGTACGTACCCTTGTTCAGAATTACTATTAATTTAACTAATCATCAGACGAACTGGGGCGTCCAACAAGCAAGCAAAGCTGGTGGGCGAGTCGTCTGTACCATGTAGGGGCGGATGCAAGATTCGAGTCGGACACGACGAGACCACGACGGCAACAGGACACGCAAGATAACCCCAGGATCGTTGGGATCGTCAAGATCCGGATCAGGATCAATGCGGGCATCCTCAATCCATCGCAGTCGGTGTTTCTCGGCGCAAACTACTTTACGCGACGCAGCATGACGTTTCAAGCGAGGCGGCCTGTCTTGTCGGCGCCGCGGATCGATCGTGTGTCCATCAAAATCAACCATGCAATATCCAGCTTCCAGGCTTCCAGCACAGCCCTCGAGCTGCCCTGCTGCGCTGCGCTGCGCTGCGCTCGCCGCTGCATGATCCAGCCGAGACTCTCGAGGTCGACTGGTCTGTTTCCCGGGTTCCTAGTGGATGGCGTGGCAGATGGTCAGTTGGTTACTCCGTACATACACAGCTTCCGAGGCGTCACACTGACCCAGCACTCGAGGCTTGTCCAGCCCGCCTTGCCCGCTTATTATGCTGCCACCCCTTTGCCCTCCAACCAGTCAAGCTGTCGAGCCAAGCTGTCCCCGGCTGCAGGTGAGGGGTTTGGCAGAGGGCAGAGCTGTCAAGTGAGAGGCCCCCCCAAAAAAGGAGCAGACTTTGAGCAAGACGTCGGACAACTCACCCTTTGCAGACTCTGCCATCGAGCGAGAGCCATCACAGTCAACCGTTATCATCACGCCCTTGCAATTTCTGCTCAGCCCGTTCTCACATCCCGCGACCTGCGACCTGCGACCTGCGACGACCTGCCTCCGCCACTCCCCGAGTGCTCCCCAGGCGAAGCGCTTGCAGGACCGGTTGACATCTGGATCGACCACTGACGCCGAGGATGCCGAGCTTTGGACGTCTGAAGCACAGCAACCGATCACAGCACACCCTGCCGGAGCAGCTGTCGACGGGAGCTGGGGCTGGCACAGCACCGGGCTCGCCCACGCCAGCATCCGCCCCGGGAGCGTTGCCTGGCGCGGCCCAAACCCAACAAGCCCAAGCCCAGGCCCAGGCCCAGGCCCAAGGCCAAGCCCAGGCTCCCGCCCAAGCCCATGTCCAAGCGCAGGCCGACTCGCCCCCTGAGACGTCGACGCCCATGTCATCAATGTCCCTGCCAATGCCCTTGTCGGTCTTGTCCTCCCCTACAGCGCTGGCCTCCAGCGACCGGCTGGACGCGTTTGTGGACGCACGAGCGCCTCTCTCGATGCAGCAGCAACATCACCATCACCATCATGACCCTCCTCTTCCTCCCCCCCCGGCACAACTCTTCAACCCTCACCATCCAGGAGTCAATCCCCCTCCCTCGCTGCAGACATCATTCTCGGGCCCGGGAGTCTCGCTGGCTTTTGACGGCCAACAGCTGCCCACGCCCATAGACTTTGACCCCTCCTCCGCCGGCCGCTCCCAGAGCCAGCGCTGGCGAGCCTCCGTCGCGCCGCAGCAGCACCAATTCTACGGCACCGCTGCGGGCTCCATCGACGACCTCTCAGGAAGCGGTGCCCATCACCAACAGCCTCCTCCACCGCCGCCGCCGTCGCAGCAGCAGCAGCAGCCGCCGTCGTCGCCGGCTCCCACTCCCCAGAAACGCTCGACCCGCAAGCTCATCAAGGGCATCTTTGGCTCTTCCAGCCGTGATTCGCATGACGCCCAGCAGCAGCAGCCCCCTCAACCCCCCCCGCTGCCGCAGTCCTCTGGCTATAGCAGCAGCAGCAACAACAACAACAACAACAACAACAGCAACAACAGCCCCTCGGGCCCCTACGACAACACAACTGGACTTGCTCGAAGGCCGTCCAAGAGGGTGAGCAACCCTCCCAGTTTGAGAACGAGCCCGTCCCAGACGGCACAGCTCCCCCCCGACCGGGATTGGCAACCCAAGGGCCCCGGCAGCCAACAGCCGTCACCGCTCCGTGGAGTTGGCGAGCTCGACGAATATTCCTTCTCCAGACATGGATCTAACATTGACTCCCCGATTATACAGGACTCTCGCTTTTTTCTGAGAAGCAACGGCATCCGTCAAGTTTCCATTTCCGGTGAACATCTCGAAACGTCGCCCTACGACGAAGTCTATCAACCACCCGATCACCCTCCCCCACATCATCAGCTTCGCAACCAACAGACGCCGCCTCCATTGCAGCAACCACAGCCTCAGCCACTGCAACGCCAAGAGACGCTCCGAATCCAGGAACAGCAGGCTCAGTACGAGTCGCAGCAACAACTTCTTCTTCATCATCATCAGCAACAACAAGAACAGCAGCAGCAGCAGCAGCGTCACGCGGGTGCCGGCTACGATCAGCAATCACCGGAGCAGGGCCGTCAACCGCAGCCCAATTTCCAGTACCCCACCAGTCCTGCTCCAGAGCCCTGTCAACCTGGCGGGGAACCTCGACTCGTCACGAACCAGCTCGTGCCTGGCCAGCAGCTCCAAAACGCTGAAACTGTTTCTCAACTGTCCCACGACTCGCCCGTCGCTGATTCAGACCCGAGATCTACCTTTCAGCAGTACCCAGGGCAGCCGTCTCAGGCCGCCAGCCTTCACACATCTGCCCCGTCTCACGACATTGCTGCCAGTCAAACAACACCGCTTCAAGAGGCGAGCCCTCAAGGTCAAGACCAATCCGCAATGGCCCCGCCAGCTTCCGCAGGCGGGCCTTCATCCAGTCGCCGTAGCCAGGATGCCGAGACGCTCCTCCGTGGACAAGCTGACCCTCCTGGTCCCCCACCGCCATACCAGCGTCAAGCTAGCGCCAATCTGAGTACGTTGGGCCCTATGCCGCCGCTTCCCGGCCAGGGTGCGCCGCCAAATGCAGGCCATCGTGGTGACCGTGGTCCGCAGTATGTTGATGCGTCTCCAGGCGTCGAACCGGGCCGAAGCAGCCCTCAGCCTTCGGACCGCGACCTCGACCTCGACAAGCATTTTAGGGAACTCGGTGAGTTTCAGCCCGCTATTTTCCAGCCACTCAACTCTTCAATGAGCATCACGGGAAGGTATTGGCTGACATGTAGCAGCGAGCAAATACAAGCACGTAAAGCGGTTGTTCTTTGACAGCAAAAACCACATTGAGAGGCTCAACGGCCAAATCGAGCAGTTGCAAAATGCCGTGGCCAACCAGCGTATGTCTCAGTCACGCACGGCTTGGGATGACAACGAATACTTGACAAGGTTCAACCGCCTCAATGGTGCCATCAACAACCTCTCTTTCAATATTCGAAAAGATTGGCGCAGCCTCCCTGCGTGGATCAACAACGTTGTCAGTGCGGATGCATTGAAGACTGGGAAGCAGGAAATGACAGCCATCGGGCGGGCAGTCGTGTCTAGATGGCTTGTGGAAGAAGTCTTCAACAAGTGCTTCCACCCGGCTCTCGATACGCAGCTCAGCTCACAACTCAAGGAGATTGAGCTCAGCATCCGGAAAAACTCGCATACTATGCACCACCAGGAGGAAGTTGATGCCCACACGACCAAGGTTGTCAACTGGCGAATGGCCACCTTGGACGGGCTGCAGCAGCGGCTCAACTCAAACGCAGCCGCTGACAATCGGGGAATGCTGACAGATAAGATTACGACGAATCTGACGGCCTATCTCTATCAACACCTCAGTACGCCGCCGCCGCCTGGTTTGGAGGGCAGCACATCCATGATTGCTGAGCTGACTGTGGCCATTGCGGCCAATCTACCTCTGGAGAGTCGTGACGTGTCCATCATGTACCCATTGCCAGGAGAAGTGGTGCAAAAAGACGTGATGGAAGTTGAAAAGCCTGGGTTGCCGACATTGGACGGGCGGAAAGCCGATGCTGACGCCGATGCTGGTTCAGACCAAGATGGTGTAGATGAGAAGGACAAGGCTGGCAAGCCGCGAGGAGACGAGGGGAAGCCTGGTACGTCGCAAATGAGAACCCGTGACACAGCTGGACTCAACAGAGAGAATGACATTATCCCGGGCACAATGCTGACCAAGATTTTGCTCCAGGACCGCCCAAAGAACGCAGCAGAGTGCGGTTTGCAGGATTCGTCGCTCTAGAGGTCAGGGGGCGCCAGGTACTCATGAAAGCACCAGTCTGGACACTGTGAGCATAGTTGCGTTTAGCGTGCAGGAAATTGCGAAAGTACTCATCTAGCAGCATACTTTACTGAGAGAGAACAAGTGCGGTATTGTTTCATTGATTGAACTGGCCAAACAGTAAGGGATACAGCAAACAGGAGCGAGGCAGGAGGAGGTAGAGAGCGTAAGCAAGAGGAACCACGTGCATACGCATGTTGGTGAGGACGAAGGCACGATCTGAATTGATACCAGGGCGAGAAGCATATCGCGGGTGGAATGAGAGATGCAGGCATGATGAACAAGTAGCTGTTGTTGGGAGGGCGGTGGATCGTGATTGACTCGTTGAACTAGGACGGATGCCGATTTACATGGCGGACAGCTGTACATACCATTCTTGCAGGGCAGTTTCGAGGATGCTCGCGCAGCCTCCAAAGATAATCAGATGCCATGGTTGGTCCGTGGATGGTGTGGCCCAAAGGGGCGATGAGTAATAGTGAGTCCACGATGAGATGATGGAGTCACGCTTGTGCCGCGGCGCGTGTTGAGTCACCGGGTCTGAGGCGGATGGGTTTGACAGTTGAAATGCAATGAATCAATGAATGGCCAGCTACAACAGGCAGGGGAGACCTGCGCTGCAACTGCCCCGGCAGGCGACTGGCCAGTCATGATTGGCCATGTGCAGGGCTTGGTCAGACGGCGCCACTCCCACCAGTCGCACGGCCAGCCGCCTCCCATCTCGAGCACTCGGGCATTTTGTAGTTACTTGCTTATAAAACCCACTTCGCTCCCGCTCTCAGCTTTTTGGAAAAAAAAAAAAAAGTCGAAAAATTCCATATCCATTTTGTAGCATACCCAAGCTTTGGTCTCTTTCCGCGCGACCCTTGGCGACCTCTGCTGAAGCAGTTTCTCTCTTTGTGCATCATCCAAAAAACAAGACCTTCACAGACGCCACTGATCGAGGATACCTAGAGAATGGCTGTACGAGCTCAGTTTGAGAACTCCAACGAGTATGCGAGACCCCGCGGCTGTCACAGGCGCAATGCAAAAAGAGGAAAAACAGCACACACACACTCACGAACCCGCTCACGCCGACGTCCCTGTCAAAGTGACAGAGTCGTCGAGCATGTCAAGTTGATGTATTCGAATTTGGATCCTTTGACTAACGTACAAACTCTCTTCTCGGTAGGGTCGGGGTCTTCTCGACTCTCACAAACTCATACGCCCTGGTGGCCCTCGGTGCCAGCGAGAACTTCTACTCCGTCTTCGAGGCGGAACTCCAGGATGTCGTGCCCACGGTCCGCACGACCATTGCCGGAACCCGCATCATCGGTCGACTGACGGCCGGCAACCGAAAGGGTCTCCTCGTGCCCACCTCGACGACAGATCAGGAATTGCAACACCTGCGCAACTCCCTCCCCGACTCGGTGCGCATCCAGCGCATCGAGGAGCGCCTTTCCGCCCTTGGCAACGTCATCGCCACCAATGACCACATTGCCCTGGTTCACCCCGATCTCGAGCGCGAGACTGAAGAAATCATTGCCGACGTCCTCGGCGTCGAAGTCTTCCGACAGACCGTTGCGGACAATGTCCTCGTCGGCAGCTACATGAGCCTGTCCAACCAGGGCGGCCTCGTGCACCCCAAGACGAGCGTCCAGGACCAGGACGAGCTGTCCAGCCTGCTGCAGGTGCCCCTCGTGGCGGGCAGCGTCAACCGCGGCAGCAACGTCGTCGGCGCCGGCATGGTCGTCAACGACTGGCTGGCCGTCACCGGCCTCGACACCACGGCTCCCGAGCTCAGTGTCATTGAGAGTATTTTCAGACTCGGCGAGGGCATGGGGCCCAGCAACATCAAAACCAGCATGAAGGATACCATGGTCGAGAGTTTCTACTAGCGGCGCCAAGTAGAAGAGAAGAGAAGAGAAAAGCCTTCTTTGTCGATTTCCACTGCCGACTTTGCTTGTGGGGTGAATGCATTTTTTCCAATCTTTGGGCTGGGCTGGGCTGGGTCATTAACTCGACACCATTTTGTTTTGGACACATTTCCCGGGTGCATGGTGTTTGGACTTGAATTATCATTCATGATTTGCCGTTTCTCATGGTCTTATACAAAAGCCCCCTGTACTTGGCAACCCCCTCTGTCGAGCATGGTAGCATATTATCCCGCCGTCTACTCGCCGGCGGACAATAGAAAAAAAAAAGAATGCGGGACAAGTCGTCGTCTTGTGCCTCCACGACTGTGTCTCTTGTCTTGAGAAGATGTTTTGGCCGTCTAACCACACGCCTTACTTTCACTTTGTGCCCGCTTCGCTCCCGTGACCCCCTCCGACATGTAAAAGTAGAGCTGCCCCTCACAAGTCGACCCCGCCCCGCCACCGTCAACCGCCTCACCGCCTTCCATTCCCGCACACGTCAGTTACCCCTCCACCTCTCTCCAAAAGCCAACTCCGCCAAAATGTTTCGACACCCCGTTGCCAGCAAGACCGAGGTGCAAATCTCCCAACGCGGTACGGAGGACAGCAGACAAATCCCCAACCTCGACCAGGGAGCACGCAGTCCAGCAATGGGCCCCCAACCAGAACCCCTAGCCCCGTCCGAGCTCGGCACAAAAGAATAGTCAGTGAGCCCCGACGTATCCCCCACCAAAACGAAAAAGAGGACCGCGGCTGACCTGAAGCGAGAAAGCTGGGACGCCCTCTACGCGCGCGAACTGAGCAACCACGCGTCCGACCCCGCCGACACGGGAACGTCCTGGTTCGAAGACTCGGACGCGGAGCGCAAGACGACACGGTTTCTCGGCGCGCTCGCCGGGGCGCCGCCCAAGGCCACGGCGTCGGTGCTCGACCTCGGGTGCGGCAACGGCTCGATGCTCCTGGCCCTCCGGCGGGAGGGGTGGACCGGCCGCGCCCTCGGCGTGGACTACAGCGCGAAGAGCGTGGCGCTCGCGCGGCAGGTCGCCTCGTCCTCGGCGGCGGCGGCGGCGGCGTCGGCGGCAGTCGAGTTCGCCGAGTGGGACATCCTGGGGGGCGCGTACGCGGGCGTCCTGGCGGGCGAGCAGGCCGGCGGGTGGGACGTGGTGCTGGACAAGGGCACCTTTGACGCCGTCTCCCTGGCGGGCCGGCGCCTGTGCGGGCTCTACCCCGGCCGCGTCGCGCCGCTCGTCAGGGAGGGCGGCATCCTGCTCGTCACGAGCTGCAACTGGACCGAGGACGAGCTGGCCGACTGGTTCGCTGGCGCCGGCTGCTTTGCCGTGGCCGGACGCGTCGGGTACAGGTCCTTTAGTTTTGGGGGCGTCAAGGGCCAGACCATCAGCACCTTGTGCTTTAGGAAGCTGTGACCATGTGCGCGACGAGGCTGACCATGTTGTTGTGTGCGTCTGTGTGCGTGTGTGCGTGTGTGGAGTGACCAAATTTCACCACTTCTTTTCTTTCTTTCTTTCTAAAACAGACAAACAAACGGCAAACAAAAAAAAAAAAAGAAAAGGAAAAGAAAAAAAGGCAAAGAGCATAGACATAGACGATACCCTTCCAACGACGTTACCCCAGACACCTCGTCCTGCAACTACGTGACCCCCAAGTCACGATGAAACAGGGCCACAACGCCGACACTTGTCTTGAATCGTTGGCAAGATTTGGTTTATTTTCGTATATACTTCCCTCCTTTCCCCCCCCCTTTACCATGTCCCCATTGACGGGCCAAACCTTACAGCCCCATGTTACAACACTTGACATTTTCCCTCGTCCCACCCAGTCAACATCTGGATGGGAATTGAAAAAAAAGAAAAAAAAAGGACTTGGTTCCGGATTTTCCATCATTTTTTCTCTTTTGGTTCCGTCTCCTCGGCGCAGAATCTAGCTGTGGGTGGCAATGTAACGGAATTGCTTCATTACGTCTCTCTTACTGTCTCGTCCCATTCTATGGTGATGTATTCATAGGCTCCCCGCCCTGCGCGGATCCCGTCGCCTCAGTTGCCGCTGTAGTCGCAAAGTATCGAACGTCCACATCGTCGTCCTTTTGCAGCTTTGTCAAGTTGGGCAGGACGCGCTGCTGGATAAGCTCCTGGCCCCTGGGCGAAGGCACAATGTCGGCACCCTCCTTCTCGAGCGAATACAGTGTCCCCTCGTCCGGCAAGCGGCGCAGCGCGTTGATCAGTACCGAATATGTCTTGGCCACGTTGAATCGAATGTTGGGGATGTCGTCGTCCACCATCTTGTCAAGCATGGGCAGAACGGACTTGGCAATCACGTTTATGCTGACAACAGTAGCCAGAGTCTGTCGCGGGAATGAATGCGTCAGTGCGCAGTCACAAGAGGCAAAGTACCGCACACACACACACCGGCCGCGCAAAGTAAACTTACCGAAATGGCAAAGCAAGTGGTCATTCGGTAGAGGTAGTTGGGATGGCTTCCCATTCCCATGACCTTGGGGATGATCTGCTCACTAGCCCACTCGACTCCAAACACCTCGGTCAACTTCTTCAAGTTGTGCGTGGCCGCCTCGCGGATGGAGAAGACGGTGTCTCCCAGCCAGCCCATGCAGAGGTTGCTGAGCTTCTCGTCGAAAAACTTGACGCCAAGCTGACTTGCAAGTAATGGGATGTACTCGATAATGGCGAGACGCACTCTCCATTGCTTGTCTTCAGCCAGCTGGACAATGGCGGGCAGCAGTGATTGCGACAAAAGGTCGATGCCAATGACTGCTTCAGTTAGCAACCATGGCAAGTGTCTTATGCAATGCCTGTCTCCTTGCTCCGAGGTACTTGCCTTGATTGACTTGCTCAAGTTTTGAGATGATGTGGAGTCTAACTTCAGGGAAGTCGTCCTTGAGCATCTGGAGAAACATGGGGAGGAGGTGGTCAATGGTCCTGGGACAGAGTCAGCCTCGGAAGCTTTGATGGGGCTGCCAGGCATGTAAAGCAGCGTACTCTTGTTTGCCTAGAATAGGAGCCAACCCGCTAATTTGCGTGCCCAAGGCGGCACGAACGTGTTGTGAGCTGTCCGACACAAGGTCCTCGACACTGCCCATGATGTCGTTGAGCAGCGTAGATCGCTCGACCAGTGCGCAGAATCCGGGGATCTGACCGGCGATGGCAGTCCGGACCTCGGCCTCGTTGTCCTTGAGCAGCTTTACGAGCGCGGGAACGAGGTCTCGGGAAACCACTTCCTCGTCGACGGCCTTGGCGATCTATCTTCACAGTCAGGAAAATACACGGGGAAAGGGGGGGGGGGGGGGGGCGTCCG